GCCTGCAGGATCTTAGTTCCCCAACCAGGGATTGAACCCGGGCCCTTGGTGGAGTCCTAACCACTGGACCACCAGGGAATTCCAAGGCTTTTTGCTTTTAATCCCCAGAGTAATCCAGTATGGCAAGATTATTCCCAATGCACACGTAAGCAAACTAGGAGAGTGAGTGACTTGTCCAAAGTCACAACAGATCGTTTACCGTGCTGCCTTTTTTCACTTCCTTTTCCCTCCTCTGCTTTTATCTTACACCTTCCAAGAATGTCACAGCATCTTTCTAAATGCCATTTTCTAAAGGCAACAGAGACAATATACTTCTAAAGTCAAAAGATAAGGATCTCAGCTGGCCCTACTCAAGTACTGAATAATCCTTGAATAAAAACATAGCAGCAGAACTTTTGATAAGAAGGTTCTTTAAGAATCATTTAATAGAGCTGATGTTTTTATCCATTCTCCAATGTCATCTGTCATCCAGAAAATATTGAAAACTTCCTCTGATGGAGTCACAACTCACTTCCTTCTGAGGCAGCTTACACCATCTTTATGTTGGTTGATAGATTATTCCGTATAATGCAAAGACTTCTCTACTGAGAGCCAGTAGCTCAGGCTCTAACCTTCTCTTGCTCTGGAAACTAACAGTAGGGTGGTTACCTACTCACTCTGAAGGCCAGAGAATGTGGGATCAATTCAAGCGCTAGAATCTACTAGTTGTGAGACCTTGGGTAAGTTGCCTATCTTTTCAAAGCCTCAGTTCGCTTTTCTGTAAAACAGAGAAATAATAAGTGCCTATCCCACTGAGCTGTTGAGAGGCCTGCAGTAATCGTCGCATAAGTATTAGCTATTATTAGTACTATTAGTGGTTTTATCAACCTAGGGCAAATTACTTAGCTCAATTCCCTCGTCTATAAGAGAGGGAGTAGGTGAAATTGTTCTTAAGCCTTCTAGGTCCACTTTATCACATAATAAACTTAAATCTGTGTGTGATTAGCTTTTCCATCTATCCTCATTGGGTTGGTAGTTCTTAACCTGGAGCCCATGGATAGGCTTCATGGGGGTCCCTGAGCCCCTTGAAATGGAATACAATTGCATATGAGTACTTATTTAAAGATAGGAGACATAGCTTTCAGAATCCATAACTTAAAATAGATTTAAAACCACTGTCTTTAGAACTATACAAATCAAATCTATTCGATCTTTGATATAACAGAACTTAATTTCTGTAAAGACTTGAATTTTTCCCAGGTTAGATATCCTAAGTTCCTTCTATCAAATTTTTTATATTATATGGTTTCTCTTCTGAATGATCATATAAAGTTGACATCTTTCTTGAAATACGGTTTCAAAAGATGAGCACAGTATTCTTGGCATGATACATCCAATTAGTACGAGGGAGAACTTCCTTGCTGTAAAGAAGCATTACTTCTATTAATAATGCTTAAGGCACCATTAGATTTGGACAGTTAGATCAACCTGCACAACCTTAGTGACCTAAGTCTTTCTTACTTGGTTCCCGACTAATATCATATACTTCTCTGAGCAGCTGTCCTTTTGGACATAAATACAGTTTATATTTACCCTTGATAAATTTCATCTTGTGAGATTTAGTCCAACTCTCCAATCTGTCAAAAATTAATCTCAAATAATAAGATAATATAAATAAAATACATCTGGATATACTCTGAATGGTAGGGAGAAAAATATATCACCACCTATTTTAACATATATTTTAAATCTGACTTACAACTTACAACACAGATCTGACTTACAACTTCCTCTGATCTCATAAACTGTAATATTAAAAATAGTTTATAAATTTCTATATTAAATTATTACTAAAATAGTTTATAAAAATAGGTTCCCTTAGTTTGAGGCTAATTTGTAGACCACAGCAACATACACAAAATCAATTCAAAGAATCCTAACTATAACTTCCCTTAAATGCAGCTCACATGACTCTATACTAACAGTAGAGATGGACAAAAGCAGCATGAGGAAAGAGTTTACAGTACATTAAGGAGCAGTTCCTTCTCTCTTAATCATTGTTGATACACTGACCAACTGCCTTTTCCATGTCTTAGTGACCCCTCTATAAAAGGGAAATAACCAAATTTGTCTAAAGTGGGATATAAAAATTAATTTTTAGAGCCCACCCTCTTCAATAGCCTCCATGAATGGCAAAGGTCTTTTAAATCAGCATAATTTATCCTGTGATTCAACACAAACCAGTAAGGTTTACTCATGGGCTTTCCTGAGTCTTCCTGTGTTGGAATTTATAAGTACCTGCTAGGTGATCTTTTGCAGTCTATACTCACCATCTATAATAGACATATTTCTAGATGTTGACATAGTGGCCTTTGAACTTCTGCCTCGAGTAGAAGTCTCCAGAGCAGCGCCTGCTGTTAGAATAATGAGCGGTCAGTATACCAGTCCATCAGTGGCTAAGGATTTTTTTGTTTTTTTTTAAAAAAACACCACTAAATAAAGTTATGTCAAAACATAGTTTATGTGTAAAATGTCAAACATATATATAAGAAGAGACATCTAGAGTCTGATCAATCAATTTTCAGAGACTATTCTTAGGCCGCCCTTGGTTCATATTGTTCCAATTACAATGTAAGGAAAAAATTTATAAATGTAAGGATAATGAAAACAATTATCACTAGAAGATGGGGATTTCTCTCCTGGGAGATTTTTAACTAAAATACTACCCACTTTAACAGCTTAAAATTCCGACAGGTAAATATTTAATAGAAAAATAATTTAAAACTATTCCTAGGGATGGATTTCTATAATGCATCAGGAAGTCACTGGATGACTATCTCCTATTATTTGGCCTATTCAATGACAACAGTATCACATTAGACACAATGATGGCAATTAATTTAATGACTGCTTTAAAAAATCAAATTGTGTAGGGGCAGTTTTCAAAAATAATAATTTTTATAATCTGGAGTTTTCTTCCTGCTGTTAGTGGGCATTAGCTAGACATTTTCCTTAAGTGTTTGCCTCACTATTACTTTGTACATGTGAGAGTAAACATGTCTATTAAATGTTCCCAATGTGTGAGAAGCACTATGAAATTCTTTAAAAAAAGAACGTGTTAAGAACTATTCAAACTATATGTGCATGTGGCCATTCAGAATTTATATACGTGAAATGTACATGTTGGAACTACATTAAAGACCATTTTTATGCATTGTAAAAATAAATTTTTAAAGGACTGTGTAACTCAATTCTGCCAATATGAACACAATTCTGAATTTCCCACACAACTGCCAAGTGTGAATGTGTAAGAAAGACTCAGTGCTAACCTCTTCCTCTCTGAGATCCTCCTCTTGACACTGGATTCTGCCCTCTTCCTCCTCTCCGGCCTCTTCCTCGGCCTCTTCCTTTGTTGGCTGCTGCTGTGATGCTGTCATCAGAGTCATCAGCCATCTGTTCTGCCAAATCTATACTCATAAGGTCATCAGCACTAAAGGCGGAAGCAGCTTCCTCTGACTGAGATCTGAGGGCTCTGGCCCTACTCATGGCCTAAGAGGGATGACAAGAGGAAAATACACATCAGTAGACAATGCAGCAGCCTAAAAGTCATTAATCCAGCCACTCAGATGGACATTTCATATTGCCAAACTGTCTAAACTATTATTTTTCACTAATCATGCTAAAACATGTAAAACAGGAGAAGCTCCCTCCCCCATCAATCAAATTCAGTGCCTACGATTTGTTAGATCAATTTACAATACTACTGATACCTGTAAAATGAGACCTTTTGAAAATGTGTATCAGGAACCATAAAATTTCACAGAATCAAAAGTTTCAGAACTGGGAGGAATGTTGGCAATCGCCCCTAACGCAACACCGCCATTTGTAAGAGACTGTCATCATTTGAGCTACTTTGTACAATGGGCTCTTGATAAATAACAAGAAAAAAAACTGGAGGTCGGTGGGGAGCTGGAGGCTGCTGCGGGCAGCCGGGACACCTGGCTTGGCCGTAACCCCGTCCGGGGCCTGGTGGGACCGCAAGGGCCCATGGCCGAGCCAGCTCCGTTACCTCTGACTTACAAGGATGTGGCCGTTTATTTCTCCGAGGAAGAATGGCGGAATCTAGAGCCACGGCAGAAGGGGCTTTACAAGCAAGTAATGAGAACCAATTATGAGATTCTTGTTTCTCTAGTGAAGAACCAATTAAAGTAACGGAATCTATAGAGAAAGAAAAATAATCTTGTGTCATGAACCCCGTGCCACCCCAAAAGAATGTTCCAAGCATCAAGATCACATGGATGTGGACTTCCCTGGTGGTGCAGTGGTTAAGATTCTGCCTGCCAATGCAGGGGACACGGGTTCAAGCCCTGGAAGATCCCACATGCTGCGGAGCAACTAAGCCCACTCACCACAACTACTGAAGCCCACTCACCACAACTATTGAAGCCCACGCACCTAGAGCCTGTTCTCCATAACAAGAGAAGCCACCACAATGAGAAGCCTGCGCACAACAGTGAAGAGTAGTCCCTGCTTGATGCAACTAGAGAAAATCCACATGCGGCAATGAAGACCCAACAAAAGATCAAATGGATACGAAGTGGTGTATTAGTGTGGGTTTGGTTTGCATTTCCTTCGTGGCTAATCATGTTGAGCATCTTCTCATTTGTGTATCTTTTAGGAGAAATGTCTATTCAAATAGTTTGCCCATTTTTGAAGTGGGCTATTTGTCTTTTTATTGTTGGGTTATAAGTGTTCTCTATTTGTTCTGAATATCGAACTCTTATCAGATATATGATTTGCAGATATTTTCTCCGTTTCTTGGGTTGTCTGTTCCCTTTTTGATGGTGTCCTTTGATGCACAAAAGTTTTTAAGTTTTGATGAATCAAGTTTATTTTTTCTTTTGTTGCTTGAGCTTTTGGTGTCATATCTAAGAAGCCTTTGCCTAATCCAGAGTCACAAAGATCCACTCCTATATTTTCTTCTAAGAGTTTTATGGTTTTAATGCATATATTTAGGTCTTTGATCCTTTTTTTTCCCTTCTTTGATCCATTTTGAGCTAATTTTTTTATACTGTGTGATATAGGGATCCAGCCTCTTTTGGATATGGATATCCAGTTGTCCCTACACCATTTGTTGAAAAGACTGTTCTTTCCCCCACTGAATTATCTTGGCACCCTTCTGGAAAACCAATTAACCATAAATGTCAGAGTTTATTTCTGGATTCTGGATTCTGTTTCATGGATCTCCTTGTCTAGCCTTATCCCAGTACCACACTGTTTTAATTACCATTGCTTTAGGATCAGTTTGTCAATTTCTGCCAAAAAAAAAAAAAAAGGCAGATGGGGTTTGGGGATTACTGTCATCTAAACAGTACTAAGTCTTCCAATTCATGAACATGGGATATCATTTCATTTATTTAGTACTTTTTTTTAGGACTTTAAAAATTACTTTCAGCAACATTTTATGATTTTTTATTGTGCAAGTCTTATGTTTCTTTTATTGGGTTTATTCCTAAGTATTTTACTCTTTTTGATGTTCTTGTAAATGGACTTGTTTTCTTAATTTTTTTTTGAAAAATAGTTTTATTTTAAAAGATGCTGAGAGTTCAACCCAGACGAAGACTGAGAATAGGTGTATGGATTTATATTTTTTAATTAATTTTTGTTGGAGTATAGTTGCTTCACAATGTTGTGTTAGTTTCTGCTGTACAGCAAAGTGAATCAGTTATACATATGCATATATCCCCTCTGTTTTAGATTTCCTTCCCATTTAGGTCACCAAAGAGCACTGAGTAGAGCTCCCTGTGTTATACAGTAGGTTCTCATTAGTTATCTATTTTATATATAGCAGTGTATATATGTCAATCCTAATCTCCCAATTCATCTCACCCTCCCTTCCCCCCTTGGTATCCATATGTTTGTTCTCTACATCTATGCCTCTATTTCTGCTTTGCAAATAAGTTCACCTGTACCATTTTTCTAGATTCCACATATAAGCGATATTATATGATATTTGTTTTAGGTGTATGGATTTAAATAAAAGATAGTGATTCCTTTTTTCATGAAACTAAAAAAAAAGAAAAGAAAAAAACTCACCAAAAATAGCTGCTATCTCTGGGTGATGAAATTTTAGGGTGCTTTTTGTTTTCTTCATTATTATTGAATATTTCAAATTTGCTACAATGTACGTTTTCTAAAATATTACTTTTGTAATCAGAAAAACATAAGCAATAATCTCTTACAAATATATAGTAAAAAGAATTAGGTAGAACAAAACAATTGAACGCCTGGAAAATAATAAAAACGTGAGGGCCAAGATTTTAACTTAATAAATTTTAATTTGATAAGAAACTGTCTAGAAAAGACAAGTTTGAGACTTAATGAAATATCCTAACTTGAAATGAATATAGATTTTCTGATTAAAAACAGAATAAGAGCAATGCTGCCCTGATCTCTTCCTTTAAACCTATCAAAATGTAACAAGGAGAACAAAAATTTAAAAAATACCTTTTTGAATAAAATTAGAAAATTGCTCCACCCACAAAACACAAAACCTAGGAGAAAGAGTTAATGGGTATAGTGAATATTTGGCCTAGCTAAGGGAGAAAGTTGAGAAGAGTTTCAGACAGTGTAGAGAGCTCCAAAATTGATCTACCCGTGCCAAGAGGCCATGACAACAGTCTCTCTTGCTTGGAATGACTAGTTCTGGGTCTAAGAACAGGCATCTAGAGCTTTTCTAAGCTCTGTGCGGTGCCATGAAATATGGAGAGACAGGGCTAGATGAGGAGATAAGCACAGAGCAGGCAGGGCAGAAGCAGGAGTGCAGCGGGTGGGGAGAGGTGGAGGTAACCCAGCTTCACGCTGATGAACTTGCTGAAGTGAAACAACAGCTAAGTCACTACGGGAACGGCTCAACATGGCATTACAACTCCAAAAGAACAAAACTTTAGGGAATACAACCAAAAAGATACAAAGAAAAAATAGTTGAAAAAGATTTCAATTCATCTTTCTTGTCCCAGATAAGGTACAGTCAGTCCTCATAATTTTCAGACTCCGTATATGCAAATTCACCTACTTGCCAAAATTTATTTCTAACTCCTGATGCATTTGGAGTGCATATGCATTGTGGACACGTGCAGAGAGGTGCAAATTCTGAATCGCCTGACACACACCTTCCCAGATGAGGTCGAACGAGGCGACACTCAGCCTTCTTTAAACGAGTATCCTTTTCACAGTACGTTTAGTGCCATGTTCACAATTTTGTGCTTTCAGCTGGGGATTTTACTTTTAAAATGGCCCCCAGTGTAGTGCTGAAGCGCTGTCTAGGGTTCTTAAGTGCAAGAAGCTGTGATGTGCCTTATGGAGGAAACACATGTGTCATATATGCTTCATTAAGGCATGCACTGAATGGGCCACAAGTTCAGTGCTAATGAATCAGTGATATATATTGAGTAAGGTCTTAAAACAGAAACACACATGGAAAGGGTTATGTATTAATCAGTTAACAAAAATGTTGTAACCAGTGGCTGGCAGGAACCTATTCCTATATTTCCCCTAGGAGCAACAGTTCAGTGTTCACTCAGTGTTTACAGTGACTTTATAGAACACAACTACCATGAATAACAAGAACTAGCTCTACATTAAAAAATACATATACAGGGACTTCCCTGGTGGCACAGTGGTTAAGAATCTGCCTGCCAATGCAGGGGACAAGGGTTCGAGCCCTGGTCTGGGAAGATCCCACATGCCGCAGAGCAACTAAGCTCGTGCACCACAACTACTGAGCCTGCACTCTAGAGCCCATGAGCCACAACTACTGAGCCCACGTGCCACAACCACTGAAGCCTGTGCTCCTAGAGCCTGTGCTCCGCAACAAGAGAAGCCACCACGATGAGAAGCCCGTGCACCACAAGGAAGAGTAGCCCCCGCTCGCTGCAACTAGAGAAAGCCCGTGCACAGCAACGAAGACCCAATGCAGCCAAAAATAAATAAATAAATTTATAAAATAAAAAATATATATATTTAAAAGAAAAAAGGAGACCTAAATTAGATAATAAGGTAGATCTAGCTGATACATGTTGAACTCTGTACACTGAAAATAAACAATATACTTCTTTTCAAGACCCCATGAAATGTTTTAACCAATATATAATGGGATGCTAAGAAAAACATCAATCCTAAATAGTAAAAAGAATATTATCATACTTTCTAATCACAATGCAATAAAATTAGAAATTAATAAGACAAAAGCCTGGACTCCAAACTGCAAAACACAACAAAAATTGAAGAATACCTAGAAAATGATAATAAAAATACTGCATACCAGAACACATGAAACAATTTAAAAATGAATTGTTAAATTAAAGCAAAGAAAGGAGAATGGAGGGGAAAAAAGATGTAAGGAAAATTAAAAGAATTGTGATAAAACACTTTGCTCAATTCTAAGTAATTTGGAAAATAAATGACCTAAACTGAATCAAAAAAAGAGTTTCAACAGACTAATTAACAACATTTTGAGAAAATTCTTAAAAGAACTAAACTCCCGAAAAGGATCACAACCAGAAAGTTTCACAGGTAAATTCTACCAAATCTTCAAAGAACAGATGATTCCATGGCTATTTCAATAGGAACAGAGCATAAAGAAAGCAAGCTTTCAGCTGGTTTTTATAAAGCCAGCATAACATGGTATTGAAAACTGACAAAGGACTGCATGTACGAAAGGAAAATTACAGTATCTTACTCATGAATATCAAAGCAAACAAAAGGAATCCCGGGGCGCATGGAAAGACCAGTACACCTATTATCAGGGGCTTCACAAAGTGATACTAAGGTTGGGTCAATAATAGGATAGAAAATAATATAATTCACCATTTTAACAGAACACAGGAGGAAGAACCCTGCATGCTTATCTGCACAGATGCCAACAAAGCTCTTAATTCATTACCCATCTGGATTTAAACAAACAAACAAAAACCTCTCAGGAACAAGTGGATACTTCTTTTATATAACGAAACGAGTGCTCTTATAAACCAATTAGAGAAAGACCAATGCCCTAGGCAAAAGAAAAAAATATTCTATGCAAAGAACATGATCAGGTGTTTCATATAAATATAACTTATTAAACATAAAAATTGCTCAGACTCACTAGTAATACAAGTAGTATGAGTTAAAAGCAACAGTAAGAAATAATTTCTCACCACTTAGATTTGTAAAGATCAAAAGATGTAGTAATATGTCATGGCCGGAAGGATGCAGGGAAATAAGCACTCCCTAATACTATTGGTCGGGAGAGGAACTGGTGTAACATATTTGGAGTGACTTGGCAGAATCTAGCAAAATTTAAAACACACATGCCTTTTTATGATTATTACTTCTTTGAATGAATTATCATCATTGCCAAATTTCATACTTTGCCTTTGTCTAAATACTACATCTTCATTTTAGCATCTCAAACATTATACTCAGATAATACTTCATCTTTCTGTACAACAGACTGTGGACTTTACTGGTATCTTTGAACTACATTACTTCTATGAATTTACCTCATGAGTGGAGGCATAGGGCCAATGGCAAGACAATGTTTCCATATACTTTTTGCGAGATTTAAAAATATACTACCCTAGTATTATTGTACTTTTTTGTAGTAATATATACGTAACATAAAAATTTACCATTTTAACCATTTTTTTTAACATCTTTATTGGGGTATAATTGCTTTACAATGGTGTGTTAGTTTCTGCCCCATAACAAAGTGAATCAGTTATACATATACATATGTTCCCATATCTCTTCCCTCTTGCGTCTCCCTCCCTCCCAATCCCACCCCTCCAGGCGGTCACAAAGCACCGAGCCGATATCCCTGTGCCATGCGGCTGCTTCCCACTAGCTATCTACCTTACGTTTGTTAGTGTGTATATGTCCATGACTCTCTCTCGCCCTGTCACAACTCACCCTTCCCCCTCCCCATATCCTCAAGTCCGTTCTCCAGTAGGTCTATGTCTTTATTCCTGTCTTACTCCTAGGTTGTCATACAGAGTGAAGTAAGTCAGAAAGAAAAAGACAAATACCATATGCTAACACATATATATGGAATTTAAGAAAAAAAAAATGTCATGAGGAACCTAGGGGTAAGACATTTTAACCATTTTTAAGTGTGTATTTCAGTGGCATTAAGTACATTCACATTGTTGTACAACCACTGCCATCATCCATTGCCACAACTTTTTCATAATCCCAAACTGAAACTCCATACCCATTAAATAACCCTTCATTCCCTAACCACCTCCCCCAAACCCCGATAATCACTCTTCTACTTTCTGTCTGTATGAATTTGACTACTCTAGGTATCTCATGTAAGTGGAATCACATAGTATTTGTTCTTTTATGTCTGACTTACTTCACTTAGTATAATGTTTTGAAGGTTTATCCATGATATAGTATGTTCCATTCTATACTTCAATTTCATTCCTTTTAAGGCTAAAGAATATTCCAATGGATGTATGTATCACATCTTGTTTACCCATTCATCTTTTGATAGACTTTGGATCGTTACTACCTGTGGGCTATTGTAAATAATGTTATGAACATTGGTGTACAAATACATGTTCGAGTCCCTGCTTTCAATTTTTTTTGGTAAATACTCAGAAGTGGAATCACCAGATCATGTGGCAATTCTATGTTTAAATTTTATATTATTTTATAATAGCAGTTGGGAATTATTTTCATTAAAAAGAGCTCTTCGGGCTACTATTCCTGCGCCTCCCCTCCATGCCTGCACCCACCACATACACACATGCGCAATTAAGTAAGTTTTCGACAAGAGCAAAAGGAAAAAAAAAGAGAATATCAGCAAGCCGAATACTCGTAGGCCGAATTGGAATAAGTCAAAGGCAGCGGTCCTCAGCCAACCCCTGCTCAGTCCTACCCACCCAAAAGAGAGCCTGTGGACTGACTGCTCTAAATAAACCTACTAGTTATTCTGATTTAACAAGCTGACATATAATAAAGGAATTTTCAGAAAAATTACCTCTCGGACTTCATCATCTTCTTCGTTCTTCTGTCTGCTTTCTCTGAAACGACGTACCTGGATTATAACAGAATAAATCACAAAAATGTTACAAACATGTCTGCTATGTAAATATAAAACTGATTAATTGATGTTTTCCATTACAACGTAAAATTCGGAAATTCAAGTATAGTTTTGTTTCACAAAAGATTAAAGAAGTCATATTCCCCCAGTGACTTACATTAAAAATTCAGAAATGTACTCTAAGAAAAACTGGCCCTAAGCAAAATGATATTACCTGCTGACCAAATGCTCCAAGTCATTGAAAAACAGCCTGTCGGACTGCAAAGGAGAAAATTCTAATGTCCTATGGGTGTTATAGTTCAGTAAAAGAGCTAAAAACAAAAACCTCTCTTTTAATAGGCTTGAATTATTACACTGCTCAAATCATTCTTGGGCACCTGGCTGCAAGTCACCCAGGAGGCTCTCTGAAATGGTATCTGAAGTGGGTGGGCCCCTGGAGATCCATTTTGCTAACAGCCAACCACCAAATGTTTGCTGTCTGCCAACCCTGGTCCCGGTGCCATGAAGGACACAAAGCTTCCTTTTTTACTGGTTCCTGCTCACAAAGCTCTTATAATATAGTTATATAGCTAGAAATAAACTCCATTTATTTAATAATTTACTCGGCACATATTTCCTGAGCCAAGCTATGTGCCAGGTGCTATTGCAGGAACTGAGAATACAATAATGAACAAAATGGTCAAGAACTCTGCCCTCCATGGAGCTTACAATCAGTGTGTGCGTGTGTGTGTGTGTGTGTTACAAAATAAGAAACAAAATAAAAAGTTATGTTGTATTTTAGAAAGTGTATAGGATCAAGTTAATTTACAGCTAGACTGAGAAAGCTCCACCCTTACCTCTGAGGAGCCTCTGGCATTCCCAGGGCCAAATTATTTACTGATGGATTTCAACCTGCATGAGCAGTTAGACAGCGTGGTTTGATTATGCGACCAGAGAGGCGTAAAAGACTCCCTGGAAACTTCTGCACAGATCTTGGTGTTCTGTCTCGGGTTTGCTGTGTGCATATAAGGACATGAGAAACAGACGCCTGGTATCTCTCAGATCCCTAATGCCTGCCTATACTCCTTCTCTTGCTGTACCGTTATCAGTTGCCTTTAAATAAAAACTTTAAGTGAGTATGTTCAGTGGAGTCTTATGAGTCCTTTCAAATATGTGAACCTGTGAAATCTTTGCAAAAGGTGTTAAGTGCTCAGAGAAAAGTAATGCAGGAAGAGGGACAGAGAGTGCGGACAGAGGCTACAGGATGATCATCAAAGGCCTCACGGAGAAAGTAGCAAAGCAAGAAGGTAGCAAAGATTTTAAAAGGTAGGGAATGAACCTTGAAAATAACTGGGGAAAATCATTCCAGTCAAAGGAAAGAATATATGCAAAGGCACTGGGGCAGAAGCATGGTATGTTTAAGAAACAGCAAGGAGGTCGCTGGGCTGGAGCAGACATGAGGATGAAGAAGTAACAGAAACCACATTGAGTAAGGCCTTGGGAGCAACTGTAAGGACTTTTGCTTTTAGGCAGGAGTGACTTCATCTAAACTATGTTAGGATCACCAGCAGCTCAGCTGAGCTGAGGACAGAACAGAGTGTGGAGGAACAGCACAGGCAGAAACAAGGAGACCAGTTTGGAGGCAACAGGAGTAATCTAGGTGAGAAATGGCTAGGCCTTGGACCACTGATAGAGATGAAGGTGGTGAGAAATAGTCACATTCTGTATATATTCTGAAGGTAGAGTTAAAGGATTTCCAGACAGGATATAGGTGACAGAAAAAGAGGAGTCAAGGATAACTTCAAGGTTTACCGCTTGAGCAAATGAAAGAATAGCGCTTCCACTAGAACCCTACAGGTAGAGCAGGGGCTAAGGTTCAGCAATTCAGACTGGGAATGTTGGAAGTTGGAGAGGTCTATTAAACATCCGAGTGGAAGGTCTAGCAGGTTGTTGGCTACATAAGTCTTGAGTTGAGAGGAGAGGTTTGGGCTAGACTTTTGAAAAGTCATCACCAGATGACAGTATTTAAAGCCAGGAAGCTGGGTGAGAATACAAAAGGAATATGTAGATGAAGAAGGGGTCCAAGGACTGAGTTCTGGAGACTCCAACTTAAGAGGCTGGAGAGGTGAGAGGAATCAACAGAGACTGAGAATACACAGACAATGAGCTGGGAAGAAAACCAGAAGAGTGTGGAGCCCTAAAAGCCAATGGAAAAAAGGTTTTAAGAAGAGGTCAAGTGAGATTTAAGATGGAGAACGGACAATGGATTTAGCACTGGAGATCACTGGTGCTTTGACAAGAGTAAATTCACTGGAAAGAGGGGGTCGAAACCCCTGAATAGATGGATTTAAGAGGAAAATGAAGGCGAAGAATCTGGGCAGCAAATACAGAAAACTCTGTGAAGCAATTCTGCTATAAAAGAGGAAAAAAGAAATAGAATAACAGCGAAAGGGAAACAGGATCTAGGCTCCAGAGTTTTGTTGAAAGAAATAGCAGCATGTTTGTTAAGATTCAGTAGAAGGGGAAGAATACAGGAATAATATTTTTTTTAAAAGACGGCACAGCATGTAACAGTGCTCGAGGTGGCATGTGATATATCAAAAGCACTGAGTCATTCACAGAAGAGAAATGAGCATCAGAGTAAAAATACCGAGCAGGCATTATGTGTCAGTGTACTGAGGGCTTACATGTATTCTTTTAATCCTCACAACAACCTTGAATGAGGTTCTATTATCCCCATTTCATAGATGAGGAAACTGAGGCACAGAGAGGTTAAATACTTCACTGACGGTTCCATAGCGAGTAAGGTCATCTGGTCTATAGTCCATACTCTTAGCCACCATGCTACACACACACACCCCCACACACCCACACACACTCTCTCTCTCTCTCAAAAGTCATGATGTCACTCCAGGTGTGGATGATCATTTTGGGGAGTGGAGGGTGGGAAGGAAGGTTTGTTTGTTTTATTTATTTACTTTTTTAGAGCAGCTTGGGTTCACAGCAGAATTAAAAGGAAGGCACAGAGATTTCCCATATAGCCCTGTCCCATACATGCACAGCCTCCCCTATTAATATCAACATCCCCCACCAGAACTGTACAGTTGTTATAACTGATGAACCGATACTGACACTCCATACTCCATATCACCTAAACTCCTTAAGGTTCACTCTTGGTGGTGTACATTCTATGAGTTTGGACAAATGTATAATGACATGTATACATGTATAACTCACCATTACAGTTTGATACAGAGTAGTTTTACTGTTCTAAAAATCCTCTGTGAATCCACCTTTTCATCCCCTTATCCCATCCCTGCCCAACCACTGACAACCAGTGATTTTTGTACTATGTCCATAGTTTTACTTTTTCTAGAATGTTACATAGCAGGAATCATACATTAAGTTACTTTTTCAGATTGGCTTCTTTCAGCTGGTAATAGTCACTTAAGGTTCCTCCATGTCTTTTAATGACTTGATAGGTCATTTCTTTTTAGCACAGAATAATATTCCCTTGTCTAGATGTTTCACAGTTTATTCACTTACCTACTGAAGTACATCTTTGTTGCTTCCAAGTTTTGGCAATTATGAATAAAGCTGCTATAAATATCATGTACAGGTTTTTGTTTAGACATAAGTTTTCAACTCCTTTGGGTAGATACCTAGGAGAACGACTGCTGGAGAGTATGGGAAGAGTACGTTTACTTTTATAAGAAACTGACAAACTGCCTTTCAAAGTGACTGCACCATTTTGCATTCCCACTCACAATCTAAGAGTTCCTGCCGCAGCACATCCTCACCAGCATGTGGTGTTGTCGGTGTTCTGGAATTCGGCTGTTCTGACAGGTGTGTAGTGGCATATCTCCTTGCTTTAATTTGCATTTCCCTAATGACATAAGATGTCGAACATCTTTTCATATGCTTACTTGCCAACTGACTACCTTCCTTGGTCTGGTGAGGTCTTTTGCCCATTTTTTAATTGGATTATTAAATTTTCTTATTGCTGAATTTTAAGAGTTTTTGTATATTTTAGATAATAATCCCTCATCAAATTTGTCTTTTGCAACTATCTTCTCCCAGTCTGTGGCGTGTCTTCTCATTCTCTTCACGTTATCTTTTGCAGAGCAAAAGTTTTTAATTTCAATGTAATCTAGTTTATCAATTACTTGTTTCATGAATCGTGCTTTTGATGTTGAATCTAAAAAGTCACCACCATATACAAGGTCATCTAGGTTTTCTCCTATGTTATCTCCCAGGAGTTTTGCAGTTTTGCATTTTACATTTAGGGGGTATGGTCATGTTATATTTACGGCACTTGACTGACAAATCCACCCATACTAAAAATTTATGAACCTAACACATCCAGAGCCACAGGGTAAGTGGTTTTACAGTGTGGATTATCTGCCTTCCCTGTCAAAGTACCTGGCATTTAATATTACTGGTTGTACATTAGTTGACACCATAAGGCTTTAAAAGAATCATGTTAAATGACTAAAAGCACAAAAATAAAAGTAAAAGGGAATGAGTTTTAAACATAACATTGTGTTCTTCTGCTCAGAGGGAATTTGGAAAATACAGGAAATGATCCCCTATAATCCCACTACCTGAGCATAACCACTGATAATGTTTGGAATATCTTCTTCCATTCTTTGCATACACGCACCCACTCACATATAAAATAAAAATAACTGGGATCACATTGTGTATAGTTTTACCACTTTGGAATTCTTTTCCCACTTAACACTGGAAATACTTTTGCATGTTCTTCAAAAGTGTAATTTTTAATAGCTGCATAGTATTCCATACTGTGTATGTGCCAACATTTATTTTACCAAAACATCTCCAACTTTTCCCCACTGCAGATAACACTGACATAAATTACTCCCCATTCTAAATCTCTATCTCATTATTGTCTTAGGAAAATCTCCCAGGGCTGAGTTAAAGGACAAATCTTAAGCTTCTTGACATGCTTAAGAAGGCAAAAATGCTTTTCATTGCAGCTGTTCAAACTCTGATACTCCTACCAGCAGAGTACTAAGTATCTTTCTCAAATTGTTGCCACTTTGATAGATAAAAAATACATTTAATTTGAGCTTCTTTGATTATCCTAGGTTAAATACCAGTTTCATATGCCTATTAGCCATTTATATTTCTTTTGTGAACCACCTATTCAGGTCCTCTGTTCATTATTCTATTGAAATGTTTAATATTCTTCTTAAGATTCATAAGAGCCCTTTAACGTAGTAAGAATATTAACCTTTTGTTCTGTCCACATACGAATATTTTCTCCATGTCGATACTTTCTCATTTTGCTTTTTGACAATTTGACATGCAAACATTTAAAAATTTTATGTAGTCAAATCTAAAGAGTTTTCCTCTGCTTTTATGCTCAGAGGGACTGCATTTCCTAGATGAAATTCAAAATCTCAATCAAAACTTAATAAAAAATTGAGATAAGCAGACATTTTCACCCTATGAGGTTCATTTTAAAGCACTTTCATGATCTTCAAGAGAAGATACTAGCTATGGGCAACAAAACTAACATTCACTGGGTATCAATCATATTTGAGACTGTGTTCTAGACACTTATTAGACATTTTCTAATATAATCCTCACTTTATGATCTCAATTTTATAGATGAGGAAACTAAACAAATCAGTGAAGTTAGTGATTTACCAGAAAGAAACTTAGAGCTACTCTTAAGGAGAGACTATCTAAATAATAGATTTTCCACCCCAAATTAGTTACTCACCTCTTCATCGATTTTATCTTCTAGGGCATCAGTATGACGTTCTTTAAGAAATCGCTGTGTTTTTTCCAACTGATATTTCACTAATTCCTCTATGGCATCTTTTTCTTCCTTGTCCACAAATTCTTGTACTGCTTCACCCATTCCCCTTTCTGTTAGAAGTGAGAGCTGCACGTTCTGTAAGAGACATATAAATCACTGGATGCAGCATCTTCCTTACAAAACAATTCTGTATAAGCAAGGAAAATTACAGAATAATTTTACCAGAGAAAAAGACAAAAAAGTCATCTAGTTATTGGAGGGAAAACACAGCAAAGTGAAATAAATCAATGGATGGTAATTAAGCCTACTGATAAATATTAAGGGCCAGAAAAAGCAAAGTAAAAACAAGAAACAGGAGTAGAGTACAGGATTTGTGAAAATGCAGAGGCCTGAGAGGCTGGGACACAGAGTCCAGAAATAGCAGCTGATGACTAAGAGAGCAGGTTAACCAGTGTGGTAGGCAGAAAAATGGCCCCTAAAGATGTCCACATCCTAATCTCTGGGACCTGTGAATATGTTACATGGCAAAGGAGAATTAAGGTTACAGATGGAATTAAGGTTGCTAACCAGCTGCTACAAAACTGGGAGATTATCAGGGACTATCCAGGTGGGCCCAGTGTAATCACAAGCATCCTTGAAAATAGAAGAGGGAGGCCGAAGAAGGGAGTCACAGAGAAGTATCCAGGGAAATGACGGCCAGACAGGTCCAGCGTTGCTTGCTTTGAAGATGGAAGAAGGGGGCCCGGAGCTAAGAAACACGGGTACCTCCAGAAGCTGGAGGAGATGAGGAAATGGAATCTTCCCTACAGCTTCCAGAAAGGAACACAGCCTTGACAACACCTCAGTTTTTGTCCAGTGAGACCAGTGTCTGGTTTCTGACCTACAAAACTGTAAGGTAATAAACCTGTGTTGTTTTAAACCACTAAGTTTGTGGACATTTATTCCAGTAGCTGTAGGAAGCTAATACAACCAGAGGATCTCAAAGTGGCATATACCCACAAAAATAAGAATAGCTTCACCATCCAGTGGCTTATTAATAAAGTAACTCTGAAATTACATCCAGATGCAAGAAAATTAAATCCTGGATTCAGACTTAGGTAGTAGCGATAAAAAGAAAGAGGATAACAACACTGACAATAATAGACACAATAATAACAATATTAATGACTGACATTAATTAAGCACTTATTTTTCTTGATACGTAATAACTATAAATGAATGTAATTGTCACCCTGCTTACTTCATGGAGACATTCTGAGGATTCATTTTGTTTAAACTATCAATTACACATATCTTAAATTAAAATCTGTCATTATAAGATAGCCATTGTCTAAACTGAGAACTGTAACTAAGCAATTACCTTCTCTGCGGTTTGAAAATACTGTTTCACAAGGTCTTCTACCCTTAGAGTTGTTACTTCTGAAGGTTTTGTGATGAACTTCCCAAAGTTGATCTCTTCTCCTAGAAAAAAGAAGTCCATGAAAAAAAAAAAAGTAGCAGTTTCTCTTTTAATGTTAAAGTGCCCAAACTCACTGAAGGTTGCTGTCAGTGAAGGAGGTATGGCCAAACTTTATCAACTGTCAGTTTGCTCAACCCAGTAAATTTTGAGGCAAAAGCATGTCATTTTTGCTAATATCTAGAGTCATTTCCTCAAAGTCTGTAATTCTTTTCCAAATCTCCAAGTAGTATGTCTCTTGGAGCTATTCTCACAGAGTGGTCCACAGATCTCTGGGAGTTCCCCATACTGGTTCAGGGGGCTTAAGGTCAAACGTACTTTCATAATAATACTAAGACATTATTTATCTCTTCCACCGTATTGACATTTGCACCGATGATACAAAAGCAGTCGTGGGTAAAACTGCCGGTTCCTTGGGATGAGTCAAGGCAGTGTCTCTGAGTTCTACTGAGAGTCATCACTTTGTACTCACAGTTCAAAACAAGACAAAACAAAAAGCCAGTTTCACATAAGAATGTCCTTGATGAAACAGCAAAATTAATTTAATTAAATCTTGGCCATTAAACACAAACCTTTTTAATATTCTGTGAGACAAATGGGAAGTAGGTTTAAAGCACATTTGCTTCATTCCTAGGCAGGATGGTTGTCTCAAAAAACAGCAGGTACGGAATAAAAAGAATACTGGGCAAGAAGTCAAAAAGCATAGGGTCCAGTAGGTGCTCTGCTCATAACCTTTGTCAGGGAAATGACTATTAACTGTCTAGCACGTGTGTGACCTGGTGTGGAAAACACAATGATAAAATGACAGGATGCCACCCATAATAGCAAATGATTACAATACAAGATGGTAAGTGCTACAACAGAGTTAAGAACAGAAAATATGACACACGGAGAAGAAATAAATTAATTCTTCTCAAAGAAGGCTGAAAATAACATGCAGATAGCAAACGCAGTTATCATATGACTCAAGACTTGCACTGCAACTAAGAAGTCCGCATGCTGCAACTGAAGATCCTGCATGCTGCAACAAAGACCCCACGTGCCATGACTAAGACCTGGCACAGCCAAAAATAAAAACAAATAAATTAAAAAAAAAAAGACTTGCAGAATGAATAAGACTTACTAAGCAAAAAAGGAAAAAGAAAAAGTATTTTAGGCAGAGGGAAAAGTTTATGCAATGGCTTAGGGGGTAAAGAGGCACAAAGTTCAGTGTGCCTCTTACAAAGTGGTGAGGACAAGTGAATAGAAATCTTTTTTGAATTTCAAGACAGGAGAATTAATATTGCTTCATAAATATGATTACTATATTTTACTACGCCAGACACAATGTTAAGACCATTTACACACAGTATATCATCTAATCCTCACAACAATCCTGTGAGGCAGGCACCGTTATTATCCTGATTTTGTAGACAAGAAAACAAAACATCAGAGATTAAGTAATTTGCATGATGCCACACATGTAGTTAAAGTAGCAGAGCTGGCCAAAACAACAAACAATTTCATGCTTTCGATAAGATATACAAAAGGGTCACTGTTTCCATTCAGCAATTAATGTTTAAACAAAAAAGGGATCATGAGAACAAAACTGACAATGGATGAAACTTAAGTAACATAAAGTACTAGGTTCTATACTCCACATTCTCACAAATGCTACACCCCAAAAATTCAAGGAATTGATAAGGATGGACAATTAAAGTAAATCACCATCAGTAAGTAACTAGCTAAAATTCATAGCATAAAAATACCATTCTCTGATATGGATTTTCCCCCCCTAAAACAGTATTCTATGAGCTCCATTTAAATAGCCAGATGACTGTTTCAGGCTGAATTAACAGCATACACCATTGTGATCACAATTTCACTATGAAAAACAGAAGCTCATTAAATCGGGGTTAATAAAAATCAAGGTAGCGTACATGTAAACAAGGGCCATATTTTTCTATGAAAATTCTGACTCGATAGCTCTAAGGAGATGAGCCTCTGTATTTAAAAGGACCAATACTTCTTAAGAAGAAGCACTGTTTCAGTCAGATGACCTGTTTTTGATAAATGCTAAAATAAGGGCAATTCGTTTTTATGAACTTTAATTGGAAATTAATTATCTGATCAATAGAAACATCAAACTTAAGCCCTTAAGTACGTATCTTTTTAACATTCTGGGACACCTCTTATTTCAAAAGACTAGAGTCTTCTTAAATCACTGTACACTGTAAAGCTGAAATATTTAGCCCTGCAAAATTTGAGAGTATGTTCTCTGAACATTAATAATGTATAGTAAATAGTAGATATTTAAACACTTTATCTCTAAAGTATGTTGTTAATCAGCAGCACGTTTTAAAAAAACTACGAAAGGCTTCATTTCTTTATTGATATCCACAAGTTTACAAATGATTTCTATCTAATTTTTAGAAGAGATTTAATTATTCCAATTATCAGTTTATTTGTCTGAGATATTAGAAAGAATCATAATAAAACATGTTCCATTATTGTTTTATACTTTTACTAGAGATTGATTTATGTGAAGCCTATAAGAGCATTTTTTAATTTGTAAAGATAACTAGCTTACCCGTGTCTTCCTTTTGTTCTCTATGCCTGAAAAAATGGATAACATCTTTTGGATTAGCTACTCGGTCCACAAATTTCTGGCTAAAGCGAAGAACACTGAACGGTTCAAAGCCTCCACTATAGTCCACCTGGAAATACAGAATAAGCTATGAAGGCTAGGAAAAAACAGATCACCAATTTCAGTATTCATGTTTATGTGTAATACTTTTAAGTTAATATGTTAATGTTCCACAATTCATTTTAAAGATCATGATGATGTTATACCATTTATTCTACTGAGAAAATAAAACTTCAAAGGTTTACACTTATGCAGAACATTGTTTGATGGAATCAAGATACAGTAAGAATTCCACAATGTCAGAAAATTACATCTCCCCATGATAAAATCATCTGAATATCATCTGAAAAGGATGTGAAATTTCTAAACAATTTTTTTTAAACTTTTAAAACAGAAGGAGATTCTCTACCAAAACAAAATGCTGGCCCTAGATGCATTTGTTAATTGGTCTATCATGTAGGGATAAGCTTTTACACTAGACAAAAATAAATGCTGGGAAAATCCATGGAAGAAAAGAAGCTAGTCTGTGAGCTTTGAGAAATGATCACCTTCCTTCAAAACACAGTACAGTCATCCCTCGGTATTCACGGGGGATTGGTTCCAGGATCCCTAAGAACACCAAAATCTGTGGATGCTCAAGTCCCTTATATACAATGGCGGAGTTCAACCAGCCCTCCATATCCGTGCAGGTACAGAGGGCTGACTGTTTCTATTTATAAAAGAACTAATAATTGCTCTCAAGGCAGGCTCTTTCTAAAGAAGTCTATGGTGGTACCAAGCTCTTTACAAAGAAAAATACTACCTCTCTTTCTAAGAGATATAATTGTTCTCCTAAACTAGCTGTTCTCAAAGTATGCTCTGGGAATCAGCATTGTACCACATCACCAGCCTTTCCAGATTACTCCTAACCTCCACCCCACTTACCCTCTTCATCATACTTAGCACTAGCTAAGAGTTTGTTCATGTATTCACTATGTGTTTATTGTCTCTCCTCACACCTCCACCTCCTGGAACCCTCGTCTATTTTACCATCACTGTGGTCCTCCTCCCCGCCCACCAGCATGCAGAAAGAAGGTACTCAACATACATTTGTTCACTGCATTAGTGAATCAGTAAGCGTCCTCTAGCCAACACAATGTACTTCTGGAATACTACTTACGTGAAAATATTTGTTCTTTTGTTTCCTTAATGAATTAATAATTTAGTGTGTTTAGAAAAAGGAATGCCAATTTTCAATTCAAGTCTGGTTGGTTCTAATGGTATCAGGCAGACACAGATGAGCAACATGGGACCTTCTGCCCTGATAAAGAGAACTATGTGGTTCCCCCGAAGCAACTATGTTTCTGTTACCCAGACCATCTCTACAGCTGCTGCCATGTTCTAAAACAGAAAATGCCAAATGCTCAAGCTATTGGGCCTCCCCAAAACTCTTCAGACATTTTTAACAACTGTACTCCAGCCTAGTTTTATTTGTAATTTTCTGCTCCTAAAAGTCGCAAAGCTCGTTCACTAAGCAAACTTTACTGAGTGTCCACAATGTGTAGGCACTCTTTTAAGGGCCAGGGGTAAGGGCCAGGGGTACCACCATAAGTAAAACAGCAGCTTGGTTGTGAAGAAATTCACAAGCTGACTGGGAAGATAAACTATGTAAAGAAGTAATTGCAAGCAGAATGTGATGGTGCTGTAAGAGTATGTACACCGTGCAGTGCAGCCAAAAAAAAAAAACTTTAAAAAAATATTTAATAAAACATTATTACATATATATGTATATATAACATTTTATTACATCTTCTGATAGTGAGATGTAATAAAGCCATTCTCTTTCTTGGCAAACTCAAAAAAAAAAAAAAGAATTATGTACAAAGTAGACTGAGGACACAAAGGAAGAAGCAACGACTCTGAAGGGAAGTCAAGAAAGGCTTCTTTTGGGGGCTTCCCTGGTGGTGCAGTGGTTGAGAGTCCACCTGCCGATGCAGGGGACACGGGTTCATGCCCTGGTCCGGGAAGATCCCACATGCCGCGGAGCAGCTAGGCCCGTGAGCCATGGCCGCTGAGCCTGCGCGTCCAGAGCCTGTGCTCCGCAACGGGAGAGGCCACAACAGTGAAAGGCCCGCGTACCGCAAAAAAAAAAAAAATTGGGGAGTTTTCATTCTATAGGTGACCATATGCCTAGACTGAACAGAGGGCTAATTGAAAGATAGGAAGGGACAAACATCATTCGTGGTAGAGAATGCTGAAGAGTGATTCAGTAAGATGACAAAAATCTACTGGATTTGACAATTGAAGGTCATCTTTTCCACCTTAGATGGTGGGGTCAGAGCCTTGATTATAGTGGATTGAGGAAGAGAGTATTACATGAGCAATATAGACAATATAGACAACAATATAGACAATATAGACAATAGCAATATAGACAATATAGACAATATAGACAATATAGTATTTTTTTGAAAGAAAATCAGAAAGGGCAGGAGCTAGGAGAAGGGAAAGGCAGAGGGGCAAAAAAAAAAGTCTGTTGTTATTTGTTTGTATGTATCATGATAGAAAAGATAAGCAGGCTTATAGGCACAGGAAACACTTCAATTTCTTAAGACTTTTCTAATACTGTCAAATACTTATCAATTCTTTCCACATATTTATCAAGCACGTGTTATGTGTCAGGAACTGTTCTGGGATCTTTGGATATATTAGTTAAGAAGATTCACAAAGTTCCATGCTTCTACAGAGCGGATAGTTTTGTAACGAAGGACAAACAATAACCAAAATAAATAAATTGGGTGTAGTAGGTTAGGAGGATGTGCTGTGGGAAGAAAAGAAAAGAAAAAGTAGAGAAGGGAAGTGAAATCAGGAGTGTTGGAGAGAGGGTATGGGGGTTGCAATCTTAATTAGGCTGGGGCCCACTGAGGTGACATCTGAGCAGATCTGGAGGAGGTGAGAGCATGTCTGATGCATCTGAGGAATTACAAGAAGGCCAAGTGTCTGGAAGGGAGGGAGAGAAGGGAACAGTAAACGAAGTCAGAGAGCACAGCCAACATATCAAATACAATAGACTACTTAGAAAAAGAGAAAAATAAAGAGAAAAAAAAACCAAACCTATCAAAACGAAACTATGATTAAATCAAATCCTGGCTGCTTTATTATTTTTTCCACCAACGATGACTGCTCTTTTTAGTATACGTACTCTCTTTGGTACTTTTCCCAAAATATCCATGTAAACTGTACAACACTCTCCTCTGAAAATCAATAAAGTTGAATTTATCTAAAGAGGACTTACTCGCAGTCGTATAAGAGGCTTCTCTGGCTGTCGAGAATTTCCCAGACGTTCCCGTTCTGCATTTTCAAGCATTTCTTCAATCTCAAAATAAAGATATTGTCATGTCTAGGGGGAAGAGGTACTACCGGCTGGCATCTAGTGGTTGAGGTCAGAGAGGACTTGTAAAAATCCTACCATGCACAGAACAAGCTCCCACAACAAAGTGTTACCCAGTAAAATGTCAATTGTGCCAAGACTGAGAGACCCCAGGCTCCCTGACTAGGCCAAGACAAATCCATTCATTTTCCTTCTCCCTGGCCTCAGAGATTGGGTTCAGGGACAAGTACATGACCTCAGTCCAGAGAAACTCAATGCTAGGGGTTTATTTGGAACTACTGGGAAAAAAGGATTCTTTCAGCTGTAAGGACAATGTAAGTCTGTGGGCCACCACGTGAAAATGCCTTCCTTAGAGCGAAGCTTAAGACAGAAACCATCAGACTAGGTGGCACAGAACTAGACACAGAAACAGAGAAAACTACAGTCTTAATTTGAGTTTCTGGATCTAGTCATTCTGAAACCAGCAAACTCTTAAACTTTCCAGTTATATGAGTTACATGTTGCTAGTAAGCTGTGACACTGGGTGAGTTATTTTATCTAAGGTTCAACTCTTCTTTCTATAAAATGTGTATGGTAGACTCTACCTACCTATAGCATCATTCAGTGGATTAAATGCAAAATGTTGTCAACAGTGTTCAGAATATATACGCCGCCAATGAATATCAGTGATAATTATCATTATCATGATTTTTATAAGAATGAAACGCAAAGCAGAAGAGCCTACACAGCGTAAGAACTGAATAAGTGTCAGTAATTAATGTTATTAAGCTGTCAAGTTCCATATTATTAAATGCATTTACCCAACTTCACAGTGGCTCTAGAATTTCTGCAGTGGTTTAGGGATGGCAATCTGCATGGTGGGAGGTATGGGACTTACACTGAAGTGACAAGGTGCATAGCACACATTTTAAGATTTTATGTGGAGGGAGATTTCAGGGTGAAAGGGATGTGTGATAGAGATTATTAGCGTAATGGAGATTATTAGAGAGGCTAAGGCTCTCCTCATCTACCATAACATGCTGCCATTCTCCAATCAAAGCCACTGCCTGCTTTCATTAATAAAATGAACAAATTATCAAATTAGGATAAAAAGAGAGAAAAGATTACGTATATGTTTTTGAGAAGGAGGAAAGGATCTGGGAGAGGGGCTTCATTAAACAAAGTTTCTTCTATTTATAACATTCCTCCCTCTGGAAGATGTTAGTTTTTTTTTTGTTTTTGTTTTTTGATGTGGACCATCCTTAAAGTCTTTATTGAATTTGCTACAATATCGCTTCTGTTCTATGTTTTTGGTTTTTTGGCCACCAGGTATGTGGGATCTCAGCTCCCTGACCAGGGATCGAACCCACTCCCCCTGTCCTGGAAGGCAAAGTCTTAACCACTGGACTGCCAGGGAAGTCCCTATTAAAAAAAAAAGAAAAGAAAAAAATTTGATACAACTGAACTCATTTATAAAACAACAGTGGTGCCTGACAGGCTTCACGAGAACGTAACAATATAATGACTTCCCTCTACTCTACTGAAGTATTTCATTCAAGGTAAATAACCTCTCAACTAAAGCAGATCTCACTGACCTTTATCTACAAGAATTACCTTCTCCAAGCAGAAGCTTTGTATGGCTTGGGTTACTTTAGGATTATCGGGGTTAAAAATGTCTGGATGCTCAGCCAGAACGACATCCTCCATGAAAAACTGCCGCACTGTGCGGAGAGGAATTTTCTGCATGTTCATCTTCCTTCCTTTAATACGCAGCAAACCAACGTGTCTGAAATGAGGAGAGGAATGAAAGCATAGTCACATTGCAAACTTCCTCAGGAAAATATGCACATCAAAACTATCATATTTCTAAATTTCTACAAATTATTTATAAAATCACACCCTTCAAAAGTATTTTTAGTAATTTAATCTTAATGTTGTATCACAGGAAAAAACTTAAACATTCTTCTTCCCCAAAATAAAATCCATTCATACATCATTTTTCCTACAGCACTCTAACTTAAAATTTAATTAATAAAAACATTAGCCTTGAATTGGCCTAATGAGCAGCAAAATCATTAATACCATTGGGATCTTCTCCTGTTGAAAACAGCTTAAAATCTGGGCAAACAGTAAGACTGTATTGAATGATCAATCTTTATGAATAAATCTATCATATAAATAACAGCATCATCAGTACCTTGAGCCTATGAGATGGTTAGACTATCATAGCAAATTTTTCTTAAATTGATTTAAAAACTATAATAATTACTCACTTCTTTACAGCTTCTCCTGGGGAAAGAGAAGTGACCACTGAGCTTCCAGGTTGTGATACGTAAAAGAGCTGTTGTTCATTTTTGGTTGGAGCTATTTTACACTCATGTTCATGGCCCCAGATAACAAGATCAATGAAGTCATCCAAAAACTGTTCTGGAATGAAGTTAGTACTTCCGTGTTTACTCCTATGCCAAGATTTTTAAAAATAAATATTATAAATGTCCAGAGATACAGAAAAACTTCATAATAAGTCTGTATAGATCTTTCTTTCTCCATTAACTAAAGATTTATTACATCCCTTCTATATGCCAAAAACTTTCAAGGGATTGGGGATGCAAAGAAAGTATCTAATTCCTGCCCTCAAAGGGTTTACAAACTTGCAGGACACAGACAAGTAGAAGCCTCAAAGGAGAAAGCAGTCGATTCTACATACAGAGGCAGATCACGAAAGGCTTTAGAGAGGAATAATTCCCCCTATGGGAAAGTCAGAAAAGCATGAGCTCTAAAAATGGTAAAAACCTATAAATTGGTCTGAGTGTATACCAGAGTACAGAAAATGGGAAGTGAGTTTAGTCTAAGCTTTGTAAAATAAAGTCAAAACTCTAAATATGTTCCATCCTTTTTTTAATAATATGTTTCTTTTACTGACTATAAAAATAATGAGAATGTCAGTCTTACACAGAGATAAGAGTTTTCAATATTAAATAAAATATTGTATGAATATATGATTTTCAAACTCTCATTTTATACCTAGATTAGCTGCTATTATTAAAAGATATGTGAAAACCCAAAGAGAGGAAGACAAAAAAAAAAAGTTTTCCCTAATACTGATTTATATCACTGAGAATTTAAGTAAAAGTGTTCAAATACTTCAACCAGCATTCACTTAAGGCAAACTGACATTCATTCATTGAACAAATATTTACTGTGTGTCTACTATGTGTCAGGTTTCCCAGGTCTCTTCTAGATACTGAAGACATAGCAATGAACAAAGTCCTTGCTCATTGTGGGGGAAATTAGCAATAATACAATATGTTTATGCATACACACACACACACACGCGCACACATATAATTTGTCAGGTAGTGACAGGTGCTATAAAGAAAAATAAAGGGAAAAATTACATGGAAAAGGGAGGCTACTATACAAAGGGTGGTCAGGGAAGGCATCTCTGACAGGAGACAAATGAGCAGAGAACTTAGAAAAGGGATCAGGTGTGCATGGGAAGAAAGTCCTAGGCAGAGGGATGAGCTGATGGCAGAGGTGCTGACATGAGTTCAAGAACAGCAAGGAGACCAGCGTGGCTAAGCAGAATGAATGCAAGGAAGAGCAGGAAGTGAAATCAGAGAAGCTCATGTATCTAGGAATATTTATGTAAAAAACATTTTTTATGTAAAAAACGTTATGATCCTATCACAATTACTGAAGAAATGCAGAATAACTCAAATACGACATGATGTAACTATGCTTTAATGGAGCACTGGTAAAGGGAAGATTATGCTGGTGGGCTGACTCTGATTTGTGACCTAGAAGCTGATCAAAACATCTTTGTGGAAATATTTTGCATGACAAAATTGCTCAGGGTTTACCTTCTTTTGCTGCAAGAGAATGGTCCACATATAGAAACAAATGGAAAATAAAGTAAAATGTAAAAGGCTCAAGAATTCTCACTTAATATGAGAAAACCTGTTTTTTTATAATACCCTGAAAACAGTAACAAAAGAAGTACCTAAGAATGCAGAGGATGACAAATGAACCTAACAGAATTACAAAAAAACTATTATAACCACAATGAAGGGGTAAGGGAAAAGGAACCGACCAAAGTAACTTTAGAAAGTGGTGTTTTTGACTAGATATAGTAAGGCTAAGGACTAAAATAACATATAAACACTGTAGCCTAGCTGGCAAATTTGTTTCTCACAGAGCTATGGGTCAGCAATTTTGAAATTACTTTGTTATGTCAACCAGTACTGAAAAAAATAAGTAAACATACCATAGATAATACAATCAAGGTTTCTAACTGTTAGAGAAAGAAGTCACAAATAAGAAAAGACAAAAATGAATCCTGTAGGGCTGGATTCGAATCAGTATGAACTCGTGCTTGTTTGTGTTTTTTTTAACACATGTATACATACAGACATGTATGCATGGATTAGTGAATATACATATATTTCTTTAACTCTAGTCATGAGGGCTAAGAGACCCACAGTAGCAATAAGCACATTTAGTGGCCATATCTGGGTTTCAAAATACCACTCTCCAATAAAAGCAATTAGGACTCCTTGGAGAAGTGGTTGATTCCAGGGCTTGAGGAGAAAAATACAAGACGAGCCAGGAGCATCTTGTGGTACTCATCTTGTGGTACTTCACTCATGTGAAGGTTAAGCACATGCTCAAAAAACAAAAAGGAAGAGGGCATGTTGAAAGGACATAGAAGCCAATGTAAAAAAGCTCCCAATGGTCAGAGTTGAAACAACCTGAGCAACAAAAACAATATCAAAAAATTAAAGGATTGGATTATAACTCAAAGAATTAAATAAACATCCCTGAGTCCACAGTAACATAAATAAATGAACGAATGAATAAGTAAATAAATGAGAAGGGACAAATTTTCCTAACAGAAGAATTTCAATTAATAATTATAAAAAGAATGAGGGGAAAAAAAAATCAGAAACAACACCACAGTATTAATTGCTGGAAACAAGATCCACCAATGGATGCTAAAATTTGTGGGCAAAAGTTTAAGTTGAAACAGGATGTTCACATAGTCTCAATGTATTTTTCCCCAAATATTAACTACAAAGTAGAAAATGGGACCTCTACAGGGGAGAAACCTGGTCTACACCACCTTAATTGAATGATCAAGATAATTAACATCACCAGTAACCAGCCATACCAACATTATACTACCCATTCCCCTTACCAATGCTGCCATTCCAAACTTTCATTCTGGCTTGGAATCGCTGATAATTGTTCCTTCTGACTTATCCCTACCTTGGGAAAGTACAAAGTGTAGCAGAGCTGGAAAGCCCTCAGCAAGAGAAGGAACAAACTCCCAGTTTGTTATATGGAGACCACACATATCAAAACTCTGGACTGCTCCTCCTTTAACTACACTGTTTATTCAAGAATATACATAAGGCAACATAAGACTGCCCCCTAAAGCCTTTCTTTCACTGAGTACCAGTGATGGGTAAGTACCACAGTATTCTGCTGTCAATAAATATCTGTTCAATAAATAATAAATTATATAATCAGGCCCCAAACCCCTTTAGATTCTTCCTTAATAACTTCTCAGCTTTGTCCCTTACATATCATTCTCACTACTATCACTGTTACCATCTCACACTATTTTTTACTATAATGATCACATAATAAATCTTGCTTCTTCAAATCTCTATTCCTTTCAATCAAACCTACACCCTGCCAACAGATTAAATTTCTTAAAACTACTAACAAAAGAAAGTTGATCTAGCTATATTTAATATTCTGGAAAAACACTTGTATATATGTACCAGGAAAAATCTCTAAGAATGTTCCTAACAAAAAGGTTTAAAAAAGCAAAAATCTGGAAATAACACAAAACACTCACTAAGAGGAGAGAAAGCTGAACTGTATACATCAGTGAAAATGAATTACCCTTTTAAGCATCAAAATGGATGAATCTTAGTAACATAATGTTGAAGAAAATAAGCCAACTGCAAAATATAAAGTATGGTGTTCCAGTTATACCAAAACTAAATAAAAAATACTCATAATGAATGTGTATGTGATTAAACAATAAAGAAAAGCTATGGACAGATGAAATAAAAATTGAAGATAGTGCTTCCTCTGGAGTTTGAGGAAAAAGGTATGATCAGGGAAGGACATGGGGTAGGGTACTGGTAATGTTCCACTTCTTTCTGAATTTAGGATTATTCATTTTATGGTTCTTCTTATCCATATGCTAGAAATATTCTTTGTAAGTATGAATATATACTGAAAACAATTGCAAGATGCAGTCACACAATGCATATCAAAGTCTTGCCTGATCTTGCACTGACAACTTTCAAAGCATCAGGAGCATTTTACTGAAATAGGTAAGCTTGGAAACAGAGATTTGGGGAACCTCAATACTTGACTCAAAAATTTTCAGAGACTACTTTTACCTGTTCTGATGAATCACAAATAAGTTAAACCAAGAGTTCCCATCTTCTTTTGGTCTCAACATTGTCACTTTTTTGTTGACGAACATTCGATAGAGCCTTTCGTCTGGAATGGATCCTGAAATGGATATTACATTATTTTAAAAGTGGTTTCTTACTCAGTTTTAAAAACCAAATATGTTTTGCTTCTAAATTATGTGCTTCTCTGAGTATTTCACTTTCCTATTAGAGAGATATTTGAAATGTGATATCATTAGTTACGAATGAACATGTTCCAGGTTCATGCCTGACAGCTGCTAAGCAGTTAGTTGCATTTGAAGAATGTTTTCCAGGTCAAGCATATATACTTTCAAGATCTGGAAAATGTGGAATAAAAATTTGAGTTTTCTATGCTCAAATTCTTATTAAAATTTTTAATAATATTGTTTTCCGCTCTCCCTTTATTTATTCTAAGTATATATGTACTTTTGATTTAACATATACGTTGTAAAATACACGGGAAGAGATATTACAGGGGATGAGATTAAAAATGTATTTAAAAATAATCGTCTTATGTGTATTACGCTTTTAAATAAAAATACTGTGCTTTTTAATAATTTAATGACTTTTAAATAACTCTTCCTATTCCCTAAAGGATCACCTTAGTCTAGTGAAGGAGACCAACAAAAACAATTAAACATGAAAATTGCAATTTTAAATATTATAAAAGGGAAAAAAGTCAGGATGCTAAGATGGGGATTATCACTGGGAGGACAAGGTTGCTACTTTATGGAGTGATTAGGGAAGGGCTGGGAAGAAAGGTCAACACCACATAAGTATAAGAGCTAGAAGAGGTCTAGCTTCTAAAAAGAATTCCTAGTGTGGCCAATGAAATAGATGGTGGCATGCAGAACATATAACTGGAACAAAAAAGCCAAGACATAAAAAAATCCAGGGCATTAGAAGGTTGATCTACTTGGGTGTCGAAGCACTGAGAACACTGACAAAATTGGAAGGTAGGCAAGTAAGAAAATTGAGGGAATGGAGAAGCCAGTTTAGCCAGTTGGCAATTAGCTTCAAGGGTGTTTGCAGGCAGGAAAGGAGGTATCAGTAGGAAGCAAGGAGAACAGTGACTTGCCCTCCACCCCTTCTGCCCTAAAGCCCATAAGAGGCTACGAGAGAACTACGTGGGACACAGTAACCTCAGGGGCCACTCAGTTTCACTGAGGGTTAGAGAGTACAGGCAGCATTCAGAGACTGATGAAATGAGGGAACTTGCTAACTAAAAAGAGCTCTAGAGTATACAGAGCTGGGGTGAGAGGAGTGGGTGGAGCGTAGAGACAGAGTCCAGTTAAGGAAAACAGAACAGGATGAGATGAGAGTTTGGGAGAAAATGGATGACTGAAGCAGTTTGCTTCTGGCAGTGACTGAGGCATAATGGGATCTGTCCTTAGTCTGAAAGTAGGAGGATCAACCATTTTCTGCAGATATGATCCCTAACGTTACAGTGATTAAAATATCTGTTAGTAGTTTTTAAAAAAAGCATATTCCACTTCCTGCTCTATCACTTGCAAAATCAGACATAATTCTTTGATCACATTTTCCATATCTCTAAAATATAGATAACCACGATGCTTTTCTACTTGTTGGCGAAATTATGAAAATTGGGCAAAGACTATCAGCTTCCTAGAGAAGCTTCCTAGAGAAAGTATTTAAATAAACCATCCATCATAATTATTCTTTAAAAAACATACACAAAGAGAAAAGAAGTAAATAAGATTTTTCTAAGGCTTCTATTATACTAGTCACTCAAAAAATAATAAAAACTATGTAGAAGCTGCAGTGTGAATTTTTTTCTCAATTTCTCTTGCGGTACTTTAAGGTTGGTTTAACATGAAGTATAATTTTTATAATACTCTATACACAACAAAATCAATAAAACTATTGCATCCATAAAACAAATCAAACTGAACTTAATCCAAGGAAAACACAAAAAATAGCCTTTGAATGCACTCTAAAAATAGTTTTCCATTCATATGGAATAAAGCCTAGCAAAAACAAGCTTTTACCTACTGGACACTAAATAAGTTGAAGATAGTGAAGCTGGTAATGGAAATTTTCTGAACATTGTAAATGATAGCTCTAGATTAGCACTGTCTAATAAAAATATCATGTGAGCTACTAAAACAGGCTAAATATGTAATTTTAAATTTTTTAGTAGCCATATTAAAACAAGTAAAAGAAACAGGTGAAATTAATTTTAAGATATTTTATTTAACCCAAAATACCAAAGGTATTTTACATTTTTTTCTAAGTCTTTGAACTCTGATGTGTATTTTATACTTATAGCATATCTCAATTCAGACTAGCCACATTTCAAGTGCCCAGTATCTACATGATTATTGTATTGGGCAGTGAAACTTTAGAACTTTCAAAGACTTCCAAGATATCAAAATGCAGTTTTTCTAATTACTCGATAAATGCTAATGTTCAGGATTTTTATCTGAGTCTAAAAGAAAGAAAAAATAAACAATAAATAGATACTAAAGGAAAAATATTTTTTCACCAAAACTGCTATTAAAAGTAAGTATCAAGGACTATTGGTGCTTATAAAATACTAAAAAATTTCTACCAAAACCTTCTATCATTTTTTTAAGTCACCCATAAGGAATAACTAGATTTGCCTCACTTTTCCCCAAACAGCAGCAAAGTTAACTCCAGAATTTGGTTTCCTAGCTGCTTAAACATTTATTGACATAAATAGTAAAATAAAACCATCTTACCTAAGCCATATAGAGCAATTTTTGTGCTTCCTTTTTGAAGCAAAACTGGACTAATATCTATCTTCTCCACAGACATTGAACGTCCAAAGTGATTTACAAATCCAGCACAACTTAAAATATCCAGGGCGCAGAGTGAGTCTGCCTATGGACAGTATTTTCAAATAATATAAATGTATATCTAAAAATAAGTAATCTGCATATCATATTATTACTTATTAAAAGTATATTTTATATAGTAGTTACAAAAACCTAGATTAGGATAATGTCTTCTCAAAACAAAATTACAATAGTAAAAGTATTCTCTATCATTTTTCTATTACAAGTGACCCACTACGACTGGAATCACATGCTAAATGCAAAGTTAACATTTCATCAAAACTTATGATGTCTTGTCCACTAAAAAATAACAAACAGCCATGAAATCAGTGCCTTGTCATATTAAGCAGACCTCTTAAGAGGTGAGAAAAAAAAGACTAGCTAAGTAGTGATTTATAATACATTAATGACCAGATAAAACAAAAAGGTATTTTGAGATTATTTTAGGAGCCCTATTATTAAAGATCTTCCTCGACCTACAATGGGTTTAGGTCTCAATAAATCCATCGTGAACTGAAAATACCGTTAAGTCAAAAATGCAGTTAAAGCACCTAACCTACCGAAAATGATAGCTTAGCCTAGCTTACTTTAAACATGCGCAGAACACGTACATTAGCCTACAGTTGGGCAAAGGTATAAATACTTTCACAATAAAGTATGGAGTATCTTGTGTAATATACTGAATAATGTACTGTAAGTGAAAAACAGAATGGCTGTATGAGTACAGAATGGCTGTAAGTGTAGCAGCTGTTTACCCTCGTGACCTTGTGGCTGATCGGGAGCTGTGCCTCGCTGCCTTTGCCCAGCATCACATGAAAGTATCTTCCCACGTATCGTTAGCCCAAAAAAGATATTCAAAATTCAAACTTCAAAGTGCAACTTCTACTGAATGTATATCCATTTCGCACTACTGTAGAGTTGAAAAATCTAAGGTCGAACCCTCATAAACTAGGGACAGTCTGTACTTTCATATCAAACAGAAAATAAGATGTTCTAATTTAGATTTAAAACTGTTCAGGAAACCCTCATTTCCTACAGGTGAGATTTATGTGATAAGAGATACAAAAGCCCTTGGTAAACTGTAAAGCATTATACAAATGTTAGGTGTTTATTCCTCCTCCTGGTTACTTATTGTTAACCTTGGCACTTATGAAATAAATGTGTATGTCACATGCCATTTATTATTCCAGATTTTTAAAAATTATCAAAAAAGCAGTATAAAAGCTTCTATGAATGATAAAAAGTCAATTTGAACTTCTGACTCAATTTGACTACAAATTGCTGGGAAGAAGTGAAAGAATGCTTTCCAAAGACAAACTAAACTGATCGTTTCTAAAATTTCAACAAACTAAGAACCCAATAATTACCCCCGTAGGATCATCATGATTGCCATGAATACTAAATACAGGAATTGAAATGTTGAGATTGCTATCTTCGTAGTTCACCCATGGAAACCTTAAAAGAAAAGAAAGAAAAGTTTCTGTAAGAGACAAAAGCTGTTTCCCCGTTATCCTCCTCCAAAAAATTAATACAGTTATAGGTAAACTGGATGATCTAAGCTGGCAAATGACCACTAGTTTGGAGATTTAAAAAGATAAAATCCTAGGCAGCAGTTCATTTCAATTCAAGTTTCAAAAGTTCTCAAAGTACTACACTTTAAAAGAAAACCATACAAATATATGATGCTTATGAATTGTATGAGAGATTTGAATGTCTGATTAATAGGAAATAGGCTTTCAAAATTTTGAAAGCCTTTATAAAAGGTTTTTATTTGTAGAAGCGGGAGGGGAAATACATCTACTCTGGAATCCAAAAGACCTAGATTAAAAACTCCAGCTCTATCACTTACTACTTGGATGACTTAAAGTTTCCCACCCACTCTTGCCCCTAGTCACCAAGGTTCTCTTCTCAGAGGCAAATAACATTAGGAATTTCTAGTGTATCTGTGCAAAAATATCTTATACCTGTAAAGCAAATAAATACATCTTCCTTCTTAAACAAATGGTAGCACAATATAGATTTCTGCCGCCTGCCTTTATCACTTTACATACTTTATAAATCATTCCATATCAGTACATAAAGAGCTTCCTTGTGATTTTTTTAGCTGGACACTGCATGCATTATTATAATGTGTTTAAGTAGTTACCTATCAATGGACATTTAGACTATTTCCAGCCTTTTGTTTTACAAATATTGTTACAGTGAGTAATCTTGTAGAAAGTTGCCCTTGCGAGAGTATAGGAAAGTATCTAGAAGGAAACTGTCAGCTCAAAAGGAACACGTGCATCTGTAAATTTGATAACTACTGCCAATTTCCCTCCACAGAGGTTGTATGATTTACTCATAGTACAATGGCAGTCCATGAGACTAATTCCCCCTACTCCACCAAGATACTGGGTGGGCCAAAAGGTTCATTCAGTTTTTTCCCTAAGATGGCTCTAGTAGCGCATAGTTGTCTTTAACTCCATTTGAAACAATTTTGTTAGATTGTATGTGACAGCTGTCATATCAGCGGGCATTTAAAAAAAAAGACTTATGAAAATTGGTGAAGGTTTGTGTAGTCATTTTAATACTGAAGATGGAAGGAAAAAAGCAACATTTTTGGCATGTTATGCTTTATTATTTCAAGAAAGGTAAAAACGCAACCGAAATGCAAAAAAAAGATTTGTGCAGTGTGTGGAGAAGGTGCTGTGACTGATCGAACATGTCAAAAGTGGTTTGAGATGTTTCGTGCTGGAGATTTCTCACTGGACGATGCTCCCTGGTCAGGCAGACCAGTTGAAGTTGAGAGCGATTAAATAGAGACATTAACTGGGAATAATCAACGTTATACCACGTGGGAGATAGCCGACATACTCAAAATATCCAAAACAAGCATTGAAAATCATTTGCACCAGCTTGGTTATGTTCATCGCTTTGATGTTTGGGTTCCACATAAGTTAAGCGAAAAAAACCTTCTTGACTGTATTTCCGCATGTGATTCTCTACTTAAATGTAATGAAAAGTTCCATTTTTAAAACAAATTGTGACGGGTAATGACAAGTGGATATGTACAATAACGTGGTAGGGAAGAATTTGTGGGGCAAGCGAAATGAACCACCACCAACCAAACCAAAGGCCGGTCTTCATCCAAAGGTGATGTTGTGTGTATGGTGGGATTGGAAGGGAGTCCTCTATTATGAGCTCCTTCTGGAAAACCAAACGATTAATTCCAGCAAGTACTACTCCCAACTGGACCAACTGAAAGCAGCACTGGACGAAAAGCATCCAGAATTAGTCAAGAGAAAACGCATACTCTTCCATCAGGATAACACAAGATTGCATGTTGCTTTGATGACCAGGCAAAAACTGTTACAGCTTGGCTGGAAGTTCTGATTCATCTGCCATATTCACCAGACATTGCACATTTGGATTTCCATTTATTTAGATCTTTACAAAATTCTCTTAATGGAAAAAATTTCAATTCCCTGGAGACTGCGAAAGGCACCTGGAACAGTTCTTTGCTCAAAAAGATAAAAGTTTTGGGAAGATGGAATTATGAAGTTGCCTGAAAAACGGCAGAAGGTAGTGGAACAAAAGGGTGAACACATTGTTCAATAAAGTTCTTGGTGAAAATGAAAAATGTGTCTTTTATTTTTACTTAAAAACCGAAGGCACTTTTTGGCCAACCCAATACATTATCAAGCTTTTTCAATCTATGCCAGTGGTTCTAAACCCTAGCTGCATGTTAGAATTTTCTAGGAATCTTTGAAGATCCACCAATGTCCAAGACACTCTCAGAGAGATTAAATGACCTGGAGACTGCGCATCAGTATTTTTTAAGATTCTTAGGTAATGATAATGTGCACCCAGGACTAAGAATTACTGATCTGTATCAATCTTATAGGAGAAAAATATATCAGTATACTTCATTTTGCATCTTTCATATTCTTTTAATATGTTAAAATGCTACTTTATTTCCTTTTCTATGAACTATGTCCATATTCTTTACCTATTTTTTATTAAGTCATGGATTTTTTTTTAATTGACTTGAAAGAACTACTTAACTATTAACTATTGGGAAAATTAGACCGTAATTTGCCATGAGTTGCAAATATTCTTCCTGGTTGAACCCAGACTTTTGACTTCGCTTTGGGAGGCTCTTGCCATGCAGAAATTTACTTTTACAAGGACAGACATATCCATCTTTTTTTTATGGATTCTGGGTTTGTGTTAACACTTAGAAAAGTCTTTTTCACATCCAGATCTTTTTTTAAAATGTCTAACAGTTTCTTCTAGTTCTTTTATTGAATAAGCTATATTTTTTGTGGAGATATGAGATACCACCTTTATCAAATACTAAATTCCCACATGTATTGTGGCTATTTCTGGAATTTCTATACTCTTCCACTTATCTGCCTATCAATTCATGAGTCACACCACTTTTTAAATTATTGTAGCATTATAATATACTTTCTTTTTTCCAGCTTTATTGTGATATAATTGACATGTAACATTGTATAACTTTAAGGTATACAATGTGTTGACTTGATACACTCATATTTTGCAAAATGATAACCACTATAGCTTACTCACCACTTTAAGCTTCACACACACCTAGCTTAACAGCTGCATCATGTCACATAACTGCCATTTCTTTTTCGTAATGAGAATATTTAAGATCTACTCTCTTAGAAACTTTCAAGTATAAAATACAATATTACTAACTATAACCACTATGCTGTACATTAGATCCTGAGAACTTATTCATTTTTAAACTGAAAATTATATATTTTTTTGATCAACATCTCCCCTTTCCCCCAACTCCCTGCTCCTGGTAACCACCATTCTAGTCTCCATTTATATGAGTTCAGCTTTTTCAGATTCCATATACTGTATAAGTGATATCACACAGTATTTGTCTCTTTGTCTGACTTATTTTACTTAGCATAAGCCCTCAAGGTCCATCCATGTTGTCTCAAATGAAAGGATGTCCTTTCTCATGGCTGAATATATATATATATACACGGCTGTGTGTGTGTGCAGATATCTGCACACACACACACACACACACACACACACACACACACACACACACACACACATATATCACAACTTTATCCCTTCTTCCACTGATGGACACTTCTGTTGTTGCCATATCTTGGCCACTGTGAATAATGCTGCAATGAATGTGGGAGTGCAGATTATCTCTTTGAGATCCCATTTTCACTTCCTTTGGATATACACCCAGAGGTAGGATTGCTGGATCACGTAATAATTCTATCTTTAATTTGGGGGGGAACCTCCACAGTGTTCTCCATAGTGGCTGCACAAATTTACATTCCCGCCAACAGTGCACAAGGGTTCCCTTTTCTCCACACCCTCTCCAACACTTGTTCTCCCTTATCTTTTTGATGACAGACATCCTAACAGGTGTGAGTTGATATCTCATTGTGGTTTTGATATGCATTTCCCTGATGATTAGTGATGTTGAGCACCTTTTCATGTACCTGTTGGTTGTTCTATTTTTGTGAAAAATGCCATTGGAATTTTGATAGGGATTGAATTGAGCTAGTCACTACTTAGTAGTCTTCTTTTCTCAGAGTTTCCCTATCTTTTTTTTTTTTTTTTGGTCTATTTTTTACATGAACTAGTAAACCATAGGGAAAATTATCCAAAATATAGTACAAAGAGATAAAGTTATAGGGAATATTAAAAAGTGGGTAAAATATAAATAATTTTCAGGAAGAAAAAGAATAGGAAACAGAAAACATACTGGATAAGAATTTTCCAAAATTGCTGCAAAAAAACTTCTTAGTTTGAAACGCATGTAGCCCAAACAGGATAAATAGAACTAAATCCACAACTAAATATGTCACAGTAAGACTGCAAAATGCTAAGGGCAATGAGAAAAACTTAATTGTTACCTGAGTGTTTTCTTTATGCCAGCTACTATTCTAAGCAATTTTCTTATTAACTCAACTACTCCTAACAACATTTCTGTAAGATTAGCACTATTCTTTTCCCATCTTATAATAATGAAACTAAGGTAGGGCAGATCCAGGATTTGACCTCAGACAGTCTTATATCAGAATCCATGCTTTTAAGCACTATGTTATACTGCTTTTCCAGCAACTAAAATGATAGCAAGACTCCTCAAAAGCACCAAAAAATAAAAGTTTACTGACAGGCAGTGAAAAACTACTAAAAACTGTACTTCGGAAAGGAAACTGAATCTAGACAAAAGGAATGAAACATAAGAAACAGCAATAGTAAGCAAAGAAATAGGTAAACACATCTATGGGGTGGGTGAAGCAGTTTAAAAATAATAAAGTTTTAGATTTGAATAGAAGACGGGTAAAGACTGATCAGAATTCTTAAAAACAAGGACATATGTTAAAAATTACAAGAATCTTTTAAAATCCAATTCTATCCTCAGCCAAATTATCAATCCGAAGTTAAAAATAGCCATTTTCTTACATAAAAAAATCCCCAAAAATTTACCTCCCAATATAAACTCATTTTTAAAATATATATATACAAATAGGTAAGAAATAAATATAGCTATGTCTGTTTTCAGGGGTTACTTTATATATATATATATATTTTTTTCCATATTTCCATGTATACGTGTGTGTGTGTGTGTGTGTGTGTGTGTGTGTGTGTGTGTGTGTATTTAAGCTCTGTGCACTGAGAGAGCCTAGAAGCAGTGACAAGACAATAGCCATGTGCATGCCTAGCATCCAGATTCTAGCTTCCAAAAGGAACCAAGACTCCTTGAAGAAATGGATGAGTCTAAAAAGCTAGGGAAAAGAAAATACAAAATTAGCCTGGAGCATCTTACAGAGCCAAAAAGGGGGGAGAAAAGATGACGCCATGTTGAAAGGACCCAAGAGGTGGTCTGAAAGAGTGCCCGAAGGCTAAAGCTGGAACAATTTATTTGAGCAACAAAATAGATTATAATAGTATTAAATTACAATCCAAAGGAAAAAAAATGAGTTCATACTTATATAAACAATTGAATAAATTCCTGTTGATGTAGACGACTGAATAAATAAACAAATGGGGGACAAGGGACAAATCTTTACAGAACTATTCCAATTAATAAATGCGGAAAGTATGTGGCAAATGTTTAGAAAATCACCATTAGGACACCACAGTTAAAACTGCTGTAGGCAAGAGCCACTGACGAATGCTAAAATGATTGGACAAACTTTAAAGAGAAACAGAATAGTTGCATAGCCTCCCCTAAAATATTTACTAATTACTGTAGTGGTTTTAACACGCCCATAAATTCTTTGATACTCTTTGCTCTCTCCAGGAAGTGAAACGTAACACCCTCTCTTCAGTGTGGGCTGGACTTAGCTACTCTCTTCTAACAAACAGTATATGGAAAGGGAAAAATAGTAACTTGACAGTGGAGAAACCTGCAAGACACCATCTTAACCAAGTGACCAAGGTTAACCTCACCAGTGCAGGCCATGTTGATAGCATGTACTCCTTACATACTGAGAAGGGCACTTCACCTATAAAGAGTATTCTTTCCCCCAAACCAATAACCCTAGTCTAATCATGAGAAGAACCCAAGTTGAGAGACATTCTACAAAATATCTGACCAGTACACTTCAAAAGTGTCAGTGTCTGCCTGGAAAAGTCTGGCATAGGCGAAAGGAGATTTTGAGACCATTTCAACTAAATGCAATGTGGTATCCTGTACAATGTTTAAGAAAAAACAGAGTACCTTTATGACATGGGGTTCTAGGTGGATATTGTAAATAAGTCCCCAAAGCACAAATATTAAAGAAAAAAAATAACGTGTTTGACTATGAACATCAAAATTAAATATTTCTGTCATCAAAAGGCCCTGTAAACAAAGTCTCAATCCACTGATTGAGAAAAAATACATGCCTAGCAAAGGCTTAATATCTAGAAATAACTCCTGCAAATTCAACAGGAAAAGACAAAAATATCCCAATTTTTAAAATGGACAAAGGATATGAACAGAAGAGATACCAAATGTACAAAAAAAATTTGAAAGTTACTCATCTCACTATTAATTAGGGAAATAGAATTTAATACAACAATGTACAGAAAATTCAAAGAACTACATTTACCAAGGAAATAGCTTATAGTGAAGGTAAAATGGCCAATTATTACCATGTTCATGTGTCTTATACAGAAAATATTATATTATACATACATGTAATATTAAATATCATAAGGAAACATTCATTTAAGCATTTAAATATACTTACTTACTAAAACCGAAGTTGACTGACTGATCGCTGATAATTTCAAACTGTACAGGACGATCCCCCATGCAATATTTTCTTAATAACTCGAGGCAGTTATGTATTGTTTTTCTTGAGGGTTTATTTTCATGAAAAAGATCACCCCCTAACAAAATGAAATCCACCTAATCAACAGAAAATAGTATGAAAATTAGTATGCTTTATAGATAAAATTTTTAAAACTATAGTGCAAAGAGATAGAAAAAAAATCTTGTAAAAGATACAATTATGTGTGGAGATTTAAAGCTTCATATTTTGTTTAGTTAAAGGGCCTTTCAATCTGGTTATTAATATGACTTCAGCTTAGGTTCCTAGACCACCTTCAAAAAGGCCATCTTCAAATTACTACACCAAGTTTCTAATTCACACTACCCAAAGTGATCATACTTCTTTTTTTTAAAGTTATCCAAATCAAACATAAACTTAGCACTTTAATAAAACCTATGGAAGGGATAGCAGATTCAATCCAAATTATTCACTTGATTCATTCAACAATTATTTAGAGTCCCTACAGGCACTGGCAGCTAAGGAAATAGCAATCTACAAAATATATCATGTCCTTGCCCTCATTAAATACAGACAGCGTGCCATACCCTATACTGAGTGTGATAAATAAAATACGATCCCTATCCTAAGTATGTTCAAAATCTAACGGGAGAGACAAACTGCTAAGCATCTAAACGTAAGTCAGACTCTGACACGCACTAGAACAGATATATAAACAAACCAGGAGTAGAGATGACATTACAATTCATTCCAACTGAGAGGAGGAAATTCACCTGAGGACAACGTCTGGGAAGAATGGGCTAACATGGTGGCATCTGAGTTGCACCATGAAGGATAAATGAGATTTCGAGGAAGAACATTCAGGAACAACCAGAGAGAAGGGAAATCACACAGAAAGAAAGTCCAACACACTTTCAAAAGTGTACAATCTACTTAAAGAAAGTTGATTAAGTTCTTAATTATACAAAAGAACCCAGCAATACAGATCGCCATGGGCTACAGTAGTGAGGGCAGCAGGATATGTCACCACAAAATGGACCCACTGTGGCAATGTGGACTGTTTTGAGCTGAAGGCAATTAAGACCCAGCAGAGTCAGGAAAAGCTTTTTTACCTCTCTCTAAACTGCCTAAAAGAATCTGGATGGGGGCATGTACCAGGAAGAGAGCTATTACCAGAGACAATTTCTGATATCAGAAAGACATCGCATGGCATGGCAAACACCTGTTTACCAAACATGTGCTCCTCTCATCTTCCTGTGCATTGCCTTCCTCCCCTTTAAAGCCCCAGACTCCTTTCCCCTTCTCCTTAGCTCAGGATAGCAGATAAGCCTCAATTACTTCACTGCTGAGGAGTCTCATACTTTTGTGGGGCTCCCATACATATGAAATTTATTTTTACCCTGTTAATCTGTCGTACGTCAACTTAATTATTAGACCAGCCAGGGAACTTAGAAGGAAATAAGGAAAAGATTTCTGCCCTGACAACAGTCAGAGAGACTTCAATAAAAATGTGGGATTTAAGCCAGGTCTTCAAAACTAAACATGATTTGAGTAAAGGGAGAAAATGATCATAATCCAAGGCATAGAAAAAACAACAAAGCAAACAAACATTTTTACAGGGGAGGGGAAAGAGAAATAGTTGTTTCAATGATATAGTTTCACTTTTACCAGACGAAAAGAGTTCTGGAGGTTGGTCACTCAACCATGCAAATGTGCTTAACACTACTCAACTGTACCCTTAAAAATGGTTAGGATGGTAAGTTTTATGGTATGTGTATTTTACCACAAACAACAAAAAAATTTTTTTAATATTTTTAAAAACTGGTTTGTGACTCCAGGGATCACTGAGAACACAACTTGCTTCTCTGGTATTTCTGCCCAAAGTGAATCTACTCATGAGGAAACGTCAGACATCTCCAACTGAGGAATATTCTGCAAAAGTAACTACCCTGGACTCTTCAAAAATGTCAGGTTCATGAAAGACAAGGCAGACAGAGGAAACATCCCAGATTACAAGAGACTAAAGAGACGTGACAACTAAATGCAAAATGTAATCCTGGATTGGCAACTGGACACCACTGACCTGCCCCCAAACTGCTATGACAGACTTTGTCGAGACAACTGGCATCTTAGAATTACATGATCGTACTGAATCAACATAACTCCCTGGTTTTGATAAGTGCACTGTGGTTACATATGTAATTTACTCTCAAATGGTTCAGAAAAAGTGTGTGTGTCTGTTTATGAAGAGAGAGGATAAATCAAATGTAGTAAAGTGTAGGAAAATCTCGGTGAAGGGTAAGGAATTATTTGTACTATTCTTGTAATGTTTATGTAAGATTGATATTGTTTCAACATAAAAGTTAAAAAAAAAAAAAGATTCCAAAGAACTAGAGAGTAGAAATAAGGCTGGTTAGATGGCACAGACCCACAAAATAGAGGACTTAAAAATCGGGAAGAACTTAGACTTCAATAAGAAGAAATAATAAACACAAATGATGGGGGGAAGTAAACATGCATTTGGAAGTACCAGTATGGGGCTGTAGGTGGGAGGGGGCAGTTAAGATTAAAGGATGCAGGGAGGGGAAACAGGAGGAAATGCAAGGGAAGGAAAGGACAAGGTAAAGAAAAAAAAAAAAAAAGCTCGTGCTCAGGGAAAGAAATACTTCAGCACCTAAGAGTTGGAAAAGAAAGGACAGAGGATTCTCTGGCAGGGAACAGACATTCTTTGACTCCAAATTTCTCTGCCCTCAGGGTAAAAGGAGACACATTTATAAGAGTGCTTACTGGACTGCCCTGGTGGCTCAGTGGTGGAGAGTCCGCCTGCCAATGCAGGGGACGCGGGTTCGTGCCCCGGTCCGTGATGATCCCACATGCCGCGGAGCGGCTGGGCCCGTGAACCATGGCCGCTGAGCCTGCGCGTCCGGAGCCTGTGCTCCGCAACGGGAGAGGCCGCAACAGTGAGAGGCCCGCGTACCGCAAAAAAAAAAAAAAAAAAAAAAGAGTACCTACTGCTTGCCAGATCCTTTCTAGGTACTAGGATACACATGAGCAAACAAAAAAGATTTTTCATTCTCATGGAGTTCACCTTCTAGTGGAGAAGATAATACACACGTAAATAATTCAATAAATTATTTCAGATGGTGCTATAAAAAAAAATAAATGAGTAATGTGATAAGAGTGTTGAAACATCAGGTAAGACCTCCCCAAAAAAGGTAAAACTTGAATTGAGAACTGAGAAGTCAACCCTGGCAAGATCAAGGTGCTCTGAGCAGGAAGAGAACCACACATGCAGAGGTACCAGAGTAGAACAAACATCTCTGTATGGATGAAGCACAAACCAACCAGGCAGAGTGGAAGGAGATGAAGTCTCCTGGCAGGGGCCAGATCACACTGAACCTTGTAGTTTAATTTTTATTCTAGATTCAGTGGAAGGCCACTTAGATTATAAGCAGCAGAGTGACATGATCTGACATGGTTTTTGGAAGTTCACTTTGGCTGCTATGCTGAATACTGTAGGAGGAAAGAATGGAAGTAAAAAAACCTAAGGGGAGCTACTGCAGTCCAGCAAAATATGACAAGTTTTGGACTAAGTTTACAGACATGAAGGTAGAAAATAGTAGAGAGGTTCCACTTGTATCCATTTGGGAATAAGAACCAAAGGACTTGCAGAAAAACTGAAGAGAACTCTGAGGAAAAGTCAAGGTTGAAGTTTGCAAGTCCCCAGAATTTATGTTTATTCCCCAGCTGTCTTTTGGGCTCGAGATGGACATTTCAACTGTCTGCTGGAATGTTTCCTTGAATGTCCTATTGGAATCTCCAACTCAAATGGTCTCAATCAGAATTCATCACCTTCCCACATTAGGAAGGATGTTATAAGGAAGTATGAAAATAAGGAAGAAATCTTCCTTATTTAAAACCTATTTCTATTATTGGTACCACCATCCACCCAAACATAATACACTCCAGAGTCACCGTCATCCCTTTCTCCCTCATCCCCACCCCCTACGACTGACTAACCAATCAAAGTATCCAAATCCTCTCTTTATCTCCTGCATTCATTTCCTCTTTTCCATCCCATGGCACCACTTTTAAAAAGCCTCCAACTTATCTTGCCTTCATGCTGTACTCTGTTGGCAGAAGACTTTCTGTTAAACGGGGTACAAACTCCTCAATCTGGTATTTGAAGCTCTTGATGCAGCTCAAACCACATTTCTAGTCTTTCAGCGCGCTTTCTAACTCGCGACCTACCAGTGAGCCAAACAGCTGCTGTACCCCTAATGGACCAATCATCTCGCCTCTGTGCCCTTCCTACTGCTTCATGGGAGGTGTACACTCTCTTTGCTCTTCACTCATTAAAAGCCTACCATCCTTCTAAGCCCAAGTTAAATGCCACTTCATTCACCTCATCTTGCTATCCTCATCTAAATGTGATCTCTTCTACCTCCAAACTCCCAGGAAATGCTGTTTATACTCTTACGGCTCTTGCATCTGAGCATCTTTGACATTTATCGTATCTCACATACTGACTTGCTTGCTGCATGTTCTTTGAAAGCAGAAACTATGACAGTCATCTTTACATTTCAAATAGAAACTGCCACAGGATACTGCACTCAGTAAACACGGTAAATATTTGTAAATTTTTACAGACTATTTACAAAAGTAGCTCCTACTTGAATTCAGGGAATAAAGCACACAAATTCTGCTTTGGGCTTTCAGTATACAGATATTTAAGCAGGCAGTGTGAGGACATGGGCCTATAAAACAAACCTCTATCTTTAAAAGGAAAAAGAGCAAGTTGAGTGGGGCTTCCCTGGTGGCGCAGTGGTTGAGAGTCTGCCTGCCGATGCAGGGCACACGTGTTCGTGCCCCGGTACGGGAGGATCCCACATGCCGCGGAGCGGCTGGGCCCGTGAGCCATGGCCGCTGAGCCTGTGCTCCGCAACGGGAGAGGCCACAGCAGTGAGAGGCCCGCGTACCGCAAAAAAAAAAAAAAAAAAAAAAAAAAGAGCAAGTTGAGTAAGGGAACTTGGTAGAAATCGCAAAAATGCAAACTAAACTCACATCATTTTCCTGGGCAAGTCTTAAAATTTCATCAAGTGTTACAAACGTATCATTTCCTCTGACGGCATCTTTTTCCATAAATCCCAGATGAATATCTGTTGCAACTAAGATTTTAAATGTATTTTCATCATCGCTGTATTTAAAAAGAAGAAACATGTCAATATAATTCATTAAAAGGATGTTCAAGCAAACTGAAACCTAAATCTATAAAATAATAGCAGTTATGACGTAAAATCATTTTTCTAGCCCTAAACGAGGTCCAAAAATTTGAAGCATTCAACAGACCATTAATGTCACAGTTTTCTTACCACTAATACAAAGCAGAACAAATGTACACACATTTTTAAAAGGTTCTGTAACTGCTTCAGAAATGTATAACCTCATTACAACCAGTTTCATAAACTGATATGTAACCTGAATTTGAAAGCTTGGTTGTTTTCCTGCTCTGTTCTACAGCAAAAATCCAAGAGGATTTGATCTCAGTATCTAAACTTGCTATTTATCTACTTTGCATTTTCCCAGGAAAATTAGAATTAACTGGTTAATTTTAAAAGCCCTTCTCCTTACTTTATAAGTAGATTTTTATCCTAATAAACTAGTAACTTACATCCAGGCCCCTGAAGAGGTTTGCTCTCCATACAAAGTTAGTTTTTCACTAAAGACTTTAGCCAAGTAACAAAACTAATTTACAATGCCATTTAAATTTGGTAGTATTCAAAAGTACTTTCATGTGAAGCAGTAATATGATAGTTATTAATTCTCTCTTAAACTTAATATAACTTTTAATTGTCTTTAAAATATTTTGGTATCCCTGATCTCATCTCAACTCCCACACGTAAACAGGTTAAGTATTGTTATCTCTGAAAAACTAGAAAGCTATATACAGAGAAATTAACTGATTTATCATGAAACAAAATGGTAGAAATGGAACTAAAACCCGTTATTAACACTCAGGCTGTTTTCACTAAACCATACGAACTTCAAAAAAATTTATATATATATCTCCAAAATTCAAATCTTTATACATAAGAGAATTTTCCAGAAAAGATTTCTCTTCATAAACTTCAAAATGATATGAACAGTTCTGATTGCTATATACATACAGGTAAGTCAGAATACTTTCGGATCACATTACTACCCAGACTTCCATAGCAATTTGTAAGGTATTTTCCCTTGAGGTCTCTCACTTAAATATGAGAATTAATCTGAGAGTCTTTTTTTTTTTTTTTTGTCTACGTTGGGTCTTCGTTGCTGTGCGCCAGCTTTCTCTAGTTGCGGAGAGCAGGGACTACTCTTTGTTGCGGTGCACGGGCTTCTCATTGCGTTGGCTTCTCTTGTTGCGGAGCACGGGGTGTAGGCGCGTGGGCTTCAGTAGTTGTGGCACGTGCACTCAGGAGTTGTGGCTCACGGGCTCTAGAGCACAGGCTCAGTAGTTGTGGCGCACGGGCTTAGTTGCTCGGTGAAATGTGGGATCTTCCCCAACCAGGGCTCGAACCCGTGTCCCTTGCATTGGCAGGCGGATTCCTAACCACTGCGCCACCATCAGGGAAGCCCTGAGAGTCATTTGTAATCCAATTATACAAATGAAGAAATGGAGACAAAGTTTAGAGGCTTGCTAACTTGTCCAAGGTTACACAATGCTAATTAAGAAATTAAGGGGACTTCTCTGGTAGTCCAGTCGTTAAGACTCTACGCTTCCAATGCAGGGGGCCCGGCTTCAATCCCTGGTTGGGGAACTAATACCTCACATGCCGCAACTAAGCCCGCATACCGGAACTACTAAACCCACGCGCTCTAGAGCCCGCAACTAGAGAAGCCCGTGCACTGCAAGGAAGACCCGGCGCGCTGCCACGAAGACCCAGTGCAGCCTAGATAGATTAGATAGATAGATAGACAGATAGACAGACAGATAGATAAAAAGAAATTAAAACAAGGGTGAAATATTCCAAGTTTGAAGCTTTTTCCACATAACTTTTTCTAGTCCTTTTATTTATTTTCATTTTAGTCAGATTCATTTGCAATTTATTCAGTACTAAAGCAATTTACTTCTTTAAAAATCTGCTTTAAAAGACTTGCAGCAGGACCTCCCTGGTGGCTCAGTGATTAAGAATCCCCCTGCCAATGCAGGGGACACGGGTTTGATCCCTGGTCCGGGAAGGTCCCACATGCTGCGGAGCAACTAAGCCCGTGCGCCTAGAGCCCCGAGCTCTGCAATAAGAGAAGCCACCGCAATGAGAAGCCTGCACACCGCAACCCCGCTCGCCGCAGGTAGAGAAAGCCCGCCGCAACAATGAAGACCCAACGCAGCCAAAACTAAATTAAGAAAAAAAAAAGACTTGCATTAGCTAGTAAGACTTAGTTCAAGCATATTTATAGCTTCAATAGTTTAAGACAAAACATAAGAACATAAACTTATATAGCAATATGCCAACCTACTGCAAAACCCCAATCTATAGCTGCATATTATCTTTAGTTAATAAGCATATAGCATGAAATGTTAACCATTCCAAATATTCATTTTGATGACTAACACTTGTATTCAGAGGCAAGGTCTTTATTTACTCATAATTTATTAAATAAGTTTTCTTTTATGGTGATCATAGTTGATAGACTGTAGAAACCCAAAGCAACAAAGACGACTTCGGAAGACAGGTGCTTACAGAGCATCTGCAGGACTCATTTCTATGATCAGTCCAGCTCCTCCAGGACCACTTCTCTCTCGAAGTACCCCTGGGTCCTGTGCTCAAACACGTCAGAAAACTCACTCGATTCCAAATTCTAAAACAAAATTATATTATTTAAAACACATTTTTAAAAAGCAGACTGGCAATTTTGGAAGTGTCTCATTTTCAATTAAGCACCTACTATACTTTTATTTTCAGAGCTTACAAAACAAAACAGAAAAACATATCTCCAGTGACACTCTACTTACACCATTATGATTACGCTCCTCTCCTGTTTCCCTTTCTATGCCCCATGGGAAGCTAATGCTTGTTAAATGAATGGGCAAAAAGGGTCACACCCAATAGTTCTGGTTTAGCACACGAACTCTGGATGTGCAGAAATGTTTAAGTTGCATGCATGGGCTACTCTGGAGCATGAGGCGACCCCGTATTTCCTGCTTAAACACAAATTTTTTTTTTAAGGAATGGGCTTGTTTTGAAAAGATAGGGGGTCCACGTTTAAAGCTAGTGTAAATAAGCAGAAACACGTGGTTTAAGGAAAATGGCCAGGATCTTTTGGGAGGAGCGGCTGCCACCGCGGAACGACCCCTCCCACGTCCGGATTCCTGGTTCGGTGGGGATTCTAAGCCTCAGCAGCCCCGCACCACCGAACCCTCAGAAACCAGAACGCGGAAACCTCCCAGGCTCCTCCCGAGCCTACCCGGCCCAGAGTCAATCTCTCTGGGCTTCCGCTCGCGATCCTGCAGATACAGAAAGCGACTCCTAAACTACCCCACATCTGGACTCTCCAAAGCCCCACCCTGGAACCCGAGGCTGTCTTTTACCCGGTAAGAAGGAGGGAGATTCTTGAGAAGAAAAGCAACAGCACCGCCTGAGAAGCAGCTTGGCCATAAACCTGAATTAAGCGGGAGAGAAAAAGCACCTCCTTCTCTCGCGATACCTCATAAATGACGTAGGCGCTTCAACTCCTCTCATTGGCTGCCGACTGCCGTAAGGTAGCAGGAAAAGTTGCAGCGAGGACCCGCCCTCATACAGGAGCCAATCCTGAGTAGCCCGGGGGACGAACCCCGGAAGCGAGCTTTCCGGCGGCGATTTTCCCCTCTCTAAGGTGGGTAGGTCTTTCTCGTCCGGGGCCACGCTTCCTGGTCGCCTGGCGCCACCTAAGAACTCCTGGGCCCAAAGGGGCGGGTCCCCTGTCGACCCCTGACGAGCCCTGCAAATCGGGCCTTGTCGTGGGTCCTAAGTAGGGCTGGAGCGGCTTCTTCGCTCGTAGAAGTTCGGAAGGCCGCAGACGCGACTCCTGGGCCTGTGAAGTGACCAGCCTGTGCTGGAGGGCCGGGACTGGTGGTCTTCTCCCTCACCTCCACTCCCCAGAGATTGAGCATTCGGACTCCAGTTTACAAGACTTTCCCTGCGTCCCCTTATTGTCTGCCTGGATCTCGGGTTCAGCACATCTGCATTGCTTTGTGCTGACAGCAGTAAAATAGAGTACATTAAAAAACAATGTGAAACTTTTGAATTAGAAAATTTGGGCTTTTAGTTCTATTGAAAGTTGTATTAATCTATCAGAACCTCAGCGCCTTCACTTGTAAAATGGGGTTTACGGCCCCACCTGTCACTGAATTGTTAAGAGTTAACATAGTTTAGATCTCTTATGGAATGTGATCTTTAAAAAACATACCCTAGTTCTTCTTGGTGGAGTATCATCAAGTAGGTATCTTGATCGGCTTTTTAAGCCCTGAATCAGGGAGATGCACCTGGGGTTGACTTTTTAAATTAAATCCATTAAGAAATTTTTATATGTAATTTATTGTACCTGGAACAGTAAATTTAAATTATAAAAAGTTTTTATGAAAAGGAAAGGGGGGTGTAAGATCTGTGCTATAATGTTACTGTGGTTGATACAAATGACAAGTGAACTATACAGTAAGGTATTTAATAAAGTGTTTAATGAGTAGATTTGTGATCACTTTTGTATTGCAAGGTTCAGAGAATAGTTTGAGGAAAGTGAAAATATTAGAACATACAGCCTTTCTGATAGGGTCTCTCGATTGACTCTGTAAAGTTGGACAGTCTTTGGAAATCCTTTAGTACAGTCCTTTCATTGTGCAACAAAGTAACAGGTCCAGAGAAGGTACTGGTCATGCGTGATAAATTTAAACTTGACTTTAATGCACTTGGCAGTAGTAATAAAATCTACTGATGCATTAGGATTGTATCAATTAAAGCTCGTGAAAATTAGGTAGAAAGAAATCAGTATCTTAGGGGTGCACGACTAACTCTCAAATTTCTCGGAATCCATTCCAAGCAAAATCAAGTGATAGGGCTTTAATTCTGTTTAATTCTACAAATATTTCTTAATGTTTGCTTTATATAAGTGGGACATAAACGTAAGTTAAATATAGTCCCTATCCTTAAGCTTACAGTCTTTTAAGAGACTAAAACAAGAACAAAATTAGTGGTGAAATAAAACAGTATGTAGCACAAAAAAAAAGTAGAAACTAGAGAGAGATGTAATTTGGAGGCTCAAGAAAGACTTAATGAAGGAGGCAACATCTGAGAAGAGTCATGAAAGACTGATAAGATTTCGACAAATATAGTTGGGAAGCTGAGAAATATTTTTTAAATATCTATTATTCTCATTTTGTTTAATTGGTTAAAGTTTAATCTGCTGCATAACTCTTTAAGCTGATATTGGTTTATAAATTGTTATGGCAGCCTAGCAGAATAAATATCATTTCCTTCAGGAAGCCTTCTCTACTCCCTGAGGACTGGGTTAATTATGACCTTCCTGTATATTCATCATATCTAGATATGGTCTTATTATGGCACTTAAACACTGTCTTTGCCAATCTCCCTGACGAGACAGGAAGCTTCTTGAGGTTAAGACGTGGATCTTGTTCATTATTGAATCCCAGTACCCAGAGACTGGCACATACCAGGCATTCTATTCATCTTTGTTGAATGAAGGAGTAAATGACAGCCAAAGTTCGGTTTCAAAACAAGAACCCAACTAAGAACTATAGTTATCTGTCAATGAATAGGACTACTTTTTAAAGCAGTGAATTTTCCTAAGCCTGAAATTGTTAAAGTAGAAGTAGGTTGATTATTACAGATGTCATGATAAAGATATCTGCATTGATGAGAGATTGGGACACATGTCCTTTGGGGGCTATTCCATCTCTAAGAATCTCTGATTCTTGGAAGTAGATTTTTTAGGAACTAAAAATTTTTGCTCCTGCTTTATAGCTTCTGTGTGTCTAGTCTATAAAAATCGTGAATGTGGTTATCTTTATTAGTTATAATTTAAAAGCTTCAAGCGTTAATCACTGTTAGCATAATACAATATAGCATATGAACCAATAGATTCAAAATAGTGTTATAACCACTGACTTAGTAGAAAAACAATATTAAAAATAAAGATAACTGAAATCTATCAGTTCCAATATTTAATGAATGTGAAGGGTATTAATAAACACCAAAAAAGTTTAGACAGGGTTTATTTGTGTATATTTGCAAGGCTTATCTATGCTATTGATAAAGCCTCAATAACCATTTTGCTCCTAATTTTTGTGTTTGTGTTTCAGATCTTGATGAATAAAATAAAGCAGACATAATTCATCTCTGGAAAGATTATTTATACTCTGGCATTTGAAATGCTTTGTATTTAGAATAGTAGTAAAAATGGAAAAAGAGAAAGTAAATGATGATGGAAAACCAGACCCAGAGAACTCCTTGGACTTTTCTGAACACTTTAACCAACTTGAATTATTAGAAACACATGGACACCTTATTCCCACTGGCACCCAAAGTCTCTGGGTAGGGAATTCTGATGAAGATGAAGAGCAGGATGAAAAAACTGAAGAGTGGTATCAATTGCAAGAAAAAAAAATGGAAAAAGATCCAAGCAAATTGCTTCTTTGGGCTGCTGAAAAAAATCGGGTAAAAAAAAAAAAAAAAAAAGAACAGTTAAAGAGGAAACCTTAATTTAGTAGGAAACGTATTAGATTGGAAGCCAGAAGACCTGTACTGAATCTTGCTTTAGTCTGTAACTTTGGGCAAAGCCTACTGTTTCTGAACCTCTATTTTCTTATCTGTAAAAATGGCCACCATAATACCTGCCTCTTTCATACGGGGTTTTATACAGAGGCAATGTATGTGAAAACACATAGTAAGCTACAAAGTGTCACATGGGTATTTTGGGGAGCTTTAAGAATAATTATAAAGAGAGCAAGCAATCATCTGTATCTTTAAATCATTTATATTAAGTCATTAGGGTCATCCTAAAGACAAGTATTTAGTAAAGAGAGAATGGGAATTAACATTTATTAAATACCAACTATACCATGTGCCTTACTACATTATTGATTTAATCCTCATATATCCCTATAAGATATGTCATATTCTTCCCTTTTACAGATTAAGAAGTTGAGATTCAGGAACATTAATTTGCCCAGAATCGTCCAAGTAGGATGACCCTGCTTAACAGCCAAAGTCTGTTCTTCCCACTTAGCCATTTGTATCTTGTTTTACTAAGTTCCCCCATGTCTGTGTTAATAAACTAATAAATGGTCTTATATTTTTGGATAACTTTTTAAGCCAAGAGCAGACTGCATCCCACCAGAGGTCCTCAGACCAAACTGAAAATCACTTCCTGAAAACATGTATCTGAGGTTGTTTTAGTTAGAAGGAATTGCGCTCCTTAATCTCGACTTCCTTGTTACCATTGTATTCTACTGTTAAAAGAAGTTTTTTTTTTTAATTGGAGTGTAGTTGATTTACAACGTTGTGTTGGTTTCAGATGTACAGCAGAGTGATTCAGTTATACATATATTCTTTTTTAGATTCTTTTCTCATTTAGGTTATCACAGAATATTGAGTAGAGTTCCCCGTGCTATACAGTAGGTATTTTTTAAAGTTTTATACAGTATGTATATTGGTGTGGTAATCCTACTACAGAAAGATCAGTCTGTTCCATTACTATGTTTTCTTCGCAGATGAAATATAAAATATTAATACAATTCTAGCCTGTATTATTCATCTAGGACTATAGCTTTTATACAATAAGCCTTCATTGGACCAGGAATAAATGTATGGTTTGGTATTCAGAGAATCATGCTCTTAGAATCAACAGTTTATAGTTAACACTGACTTGTTCATTGTTAAATCAGTTCCCCACCCCCCCCCAAAAATCGTATTTTTTATTTTACAGTCATCTGCTAACAAAGAAGTTTTTATTTAACTTAATTAAATCGAACACTAGATGGTTTAATTTTCTTTGCTTATTGTTTCATTTCGAGTTGGGTTTGTAAAAGATCTGTTTTCTTCTTAGCTGACCACAGTGCGAAGACTGCTTTCAGAAAAGGCCACCCACGTGAACACTCGAGATGAAGATGGGTACACCCCGCTCCATCGAGCAGCCTACAGCGGACACTTAGACGTGGTCCGGGAGTTGATTGCACACAGGGCAGATGTTCACGCGGTGACTGTGGATGGCTGGACACCCCTGCACAGTGCCTGTAAGTGGAATAACACCAGAGTGGCTTCTTTCTTACTGCAGCATGATGCAGATATCAACGCCCAAACAAAAGGCCTCTTGACCCCCTTACATCTAGCTGCTGGGAACAGAGACAGCAAAGATACCCTTGAACTCCTCCTGATGAACCGCTACATCAAAGCAGGTCTGAAGAACAACCTGGAGGAAACTGCATTTGACATCGCCAGGAGGACAAGCATGTATCACTACCTCTTTGAAATTGTGGAAGGCTGCACAAATTCTTCACCTCAGTCTTAATGGTTCTAATAATTTTCTTAAGTTTCTAAGTCCCAGTGCCTCCTTTGTGTGAGATGTGAAATGTCCCCATCATACAAAGTTGACATCAAAAGTCTTAGGACAGTAATTCAGTGGTACTCACGATAATATCCTTCCAAG